CCATGTCCCTCCTGCTAGCCCAGCCACAGCCTCGCCATCACTGCCACATGCCCTCCCCACAGGCTCCCACACCAGCTCCAGAACCAAGCCCAGCCACTCACTCTCTAGAAGAGGGCAGTTTATCACTTTGTCCCATTACAGTCCTATGAGGCCCGGGACAGCTGTACTCAATCAGGAATTTGCGCCTCACAGGAGGCCAGCAGCCCAGGAGTCCCTGGGGGTCTGGACCAGGCGCCCAGCCCTGTGGAGGCCAAAGAGCTGCCTGCTGAAGGCTGTGGGCACGTGCTGAGTTTGGCCTGCCAAGGGCCAGGGCCTAGTTAGGACTTGGGACAGCTGGGCAGCTCCTCTTCAGGCCAGAGCCCACCCCACACCCCTCCCCCTGGAGCCCAGCCCTAGGGTCATTTTTAGAGTAGATGGATCTGCTGGTTCTCAATGTCTGGCACCCTCTCTTAACACAAATGAGTTCAAATGCTATTTGTTTCTAAGCCATCACCCTCAAGAACGGCACAGAGCTGGGGGATATGCCAGTACCTTCTACTCCAGACACCATGTCCTCAAGATAAAAGCCATTAAGGGCAGGGGGTCATTGAGGTAGGCCATCAGCATGAAAACCGAAATACTTAATATAGCTGAGATTTCTCTCCTGTTGTACCAAGCCCCAATTTTTTTTTTTAAAGATAGAGTGAGAGAGGGAGGGAGGGAGAGAGAGAGAGAGAATTTTTAATATTTATTTTTCAGTTCTCAGCAGACACAACATCCCTGTTTGTATGTGGTGCTGAGGATCGAACCCGGGCCACACGCATGCCAGGAAAGCGCGCTACCGCTTGAGCCACATCCCCAGCCCGAAAGCCCCAATTTTTAATCATAGGTTCAACAGACAGCAAACAACTCTGTCCAGTTGCTCAAAGAATTTCTAAATGCTCACACTTTCTGCACCTGTCACACTGAAGAGCAGTGAGGAGAACCTGTCAGGACAGCACCAGGCCATCGGCCACACTTTTGAGTTGCGTCTGCTCAAAGACTAGAAGCAAATGCTAGATGTGGAATAATTATTTTCCTCTCTGGATTAATTTTTCTGTGACAGAGTTATACTGTTCAAAATGAAAGCTGGTTTAGGGGCTGGGGACATAGCTCAGTGGTAGAGTGCTTGCCTCGCATGCACAAGGCCCTGGGTTCAATCCCCAGTGCAACAAAAAAATGAAAGCTGATATAAAATATACAGAAATAATCACTCAAAAGAAGATACATTTTCCCCCAAGTTCAGGTTTATGGACAAGGCACAGCTGATATAAATCAAAGCCATCTTCCATCTGCCTGGTTCTGTCCCCTTCCTTTCCCTCCTGCCTTTCACCCCGTTGTCCCCAGCTCCTGCTCCCATTAATCTTCCGCTTTCCCTAGTGGCAGGTCCTGGACTCTGGTCCCCCTGCTGTCACCGTTCCAGACTCCCAGGAAATCACCTGATCTCAGACGTTGGTTTCCCTGTGCAGGTTGGTGATGAGACCCGCCTCAGAGGACTGTCACAGAAGTGAGGTCACCAAGAGGGAAAGCTCTGCAAGTCACCGAGGAATAGGCCCTGAAGAGTGAGCCCCGGCCACTTGCCCTCGGTCCCCCAGCCTCTGGCCAGCTCGGGTCAGCCTCCCGGGCTTCCTGGCCCTCTGGGCCTCTTCTCAGGCAACCACTCTCCTCCACCGCCTGCTGCCAAACAGACCTTTTCCAGGAGGCCTCTCCAGCGCGTCCCCACGGTGCACACACAGGTGCTTCTGTCCCTCAGAGCCATGGTGGCCCCTCCCAGGGTAAACACCCGCCCAGGCTGCTGGATTTTGTCCCTCCTGACAGCCAGCGGCGGGCACCCTCCTACCCTCAGTCTCGATAAGCTTGTCTGCTCCAGGTACGGCATGTAGGGAAATCAAAGGTCTGTTCTTTTGTGTCCGGCTTATGTCATCTAGCATGTCTTCAAGATTCATCCACCATGTCCTGCATCAGAACTTCTTTTCTATCTACCTATTGATTTGTTTGTTTGTTTATTGGTTCTGGGGATTGAACCCAGGGGTGCTAAACCACTAAGCCACATCCCAGTCCTTTCTGTATTTTCTTTAGAGACAGGGCCTCACTAAACTGCTGAGGCTGGCTTTGAATTTGTAATCCTCCTGCCTCGAGCCTCCCAGTCACTAGGATTACAGGCATGTGCCACTGTTCCTGACTCCTTTCTTTTTAAGGTGGAATAATATTCTACTGTATGTACATATCACATTTTGTTCATTCATTCATTTATTCGTGGACATTTGGGTCACTTCTACTTTTTAGCTGTTGTTTTAAAAAATGCCATTATGAAGCCAGGTGCAGTGGTGCACGCCTGTCATCCCAGCAAATCAGGAGGCTCAGGCAGGAGGATCACAAGTTTGAGGCCAGCAAGACCCTGTCTCAAAAATAAAGTTGGTTTTTTTTTTTAATAATTGTAATATTTATTTTTTAGTTTTCGGTGGACACAACATTTTTATTTGTATGTGGTGCTGAGGATCGAACCCGGGCCGCACGCATGCCAGGCGAGCGCGCTACCGCTTGAGCCACATCCCCAGCCCTCAAAAATAAAGTTTTAATAAAGGGTTGGGGATGTAGCTCAATGGTAGAGTCCCTGGGTTCAATCTCCAGTACACCCACACACACAGAGAGACCTCTAAGACATCGTACAAATGTCTGTTTGAACCCCTGCTTTCAGTTATTTTGACTACATCCCTAGAAGTGAAGTTTCTGAGTCATATAGTACTACTGTGTTTAATTTTTTTGCCAACAACTTTCTATTTTCTGGGTTTTTGTTTTTAAAATATCCATCCTAATGGATGTGGTGGGGTATCTCACTGTGATTTTTATTTGCATTTTTGTAGTGATTGGTGATTTTTGAGCATCATTGTGTCTTGGGAAGTACTGGGGATCAAACCAAGGACACTGCATATGGTAGTGCTCCCCTCACCTTTTAAATTTTCTTTAGAGACAGAATCTCACTAAATTGCTCCAGGAGAGCCTCGAACTTTCGATATTCCTGCCTCTGCCTCTGGGGGAGCTGGGATCACAGGCGAGCCGTGAGCATCTTTCCCCGTACTTACTGCTCACCTGTGTATCTTCAGGAAAATGTCTGTTCAAGTTCTCTGACCACTGTTTAATCAGATTGCTTATTTTGGGTTGTTGATCTGCAGCAGTTCTTTATATATTCTAAATATTAATTCCTTATCAGATACATGATCAGCAAATACTTTCTCCCATTCCTGGGTGGCCTTTTCGCTCTGTTGATTGAGATACAAAATACACTTTTAGTGACACAGACAAGAAATCATGGCTTCACCCAGTGCCATGAAACCTGTTTTCTTTTTCTTCTTTTTCTCATTTCTCCTTCCGCTCCCTTCTCTTTTCTCCTCCTCCTCCTCCTCCTCCTCCTCCTCCTCCTCCTCCTCCTCCTCCGTACCAGGGACTGAACCCAGGAGTGCTCTACCTTTGAGCTACATCCCAGCCCAAATTGTATTCTTTTTTTGTTGCTATTGTAAATGGAATTGTTTTCTTTTTCTTTTGGATCATTCATTATTAGTACATAGAAACATCTGATTTCTGCGTGTTGATTTTGAATCCTGCAATTTTGCTGAATTGATTAGTGGGTTTTTGTTTTTGTTTCTTGTGGAATCCATAAAACATGTTTTTTTTTTTTGTGTGTGTGTGTGTGTGTGTGTTTGTTGTGGTCCTGGAGATTGAACCCCATCCTGGTATGACAGTGGTTTGACACACCCTCCAGCACTGGACCCCACCCCATCCCACTTTTGTTCAAGACTGGGTCTTTAAATTACCCAGATTGACCTTTAACTGGTATCCTCCTGCTTCAGCCTCCCGGGGAAGCTGGGTTCACAGGCGTGTGCTACCATGCCAGGCCAAGGTTTATATATATATATATATATATATATGTGTGTGTGTGTGTGTGTGTTGTAGTTGGACACAATATCTTTATTTTATTTTTATGTGGTGCTGAGGATCGAACCCAGGGCCTTGCACATGCTAGGAGAGCGCTGTACCGCTGAGCCACAACCCCAGCCCCAGGCCAAGGTTTTTGTTATAGTTTTTCTCTTTACCTGGAGGCCTGGGTAGGGACAGGTTTCCTTGAAATCTTCCAAGTTCTGTGGGTAAGCTTTTTCTAGGTCCCCATTGACTAAGGGTGCAGGCTTCATGGTCCCCACAGATTTCGGGAGTGCCGGTTCCAGCTCCCTGCCCTGCGTGGCCACGACAGCACCCTGCTGGGTGGCTGCGCCAGTCTCCCTCTGGTGCCCTCCCAAGCCCTTCCCGCAGAGCTCCCGCTGCACCAGCTCACGCGCCCTCTGCTTCTCTGCTGTCTCCTGCTTTGGAAAGCAGACCCACTCTATCTCCTGACTACGTGACATCCGAGAGGTCCCAGCATCCGTTTCCAAATGCGCACCCCAGCACGAGCATTCACAGAACACACCTGGGGCCAGACCCTGCCCATGCGAGGGGCCAGACGCCAGGACACAGCCAGAGTGGGAAACACCTTGGGCCCTTCTCCCACCACAAGGGTCCTGCCTCCCCTGGGCTGGGAGCCAGGCAAGGACTCACCATGCGGGGCGTTGTGGCCTTCCCTTCTAAAGGCTCACGATGCGCAGATACCACTCGAGCCACTGTGGGATCTTACATCTCATTACTCCTTCCTCCGGCCCTGTGGGTAGGCATGATTATTGTCACTCAGTACTGCCAGAAACGCAGATGGCAAGGGGCAGGACTGGGATGCAGACTTAGGTTGGACCAACCTTTTACCAAACATCTCATCTTCCTGTGTCCTTCCAAAGCCACCGTGGTTTCCCTGTCTCACCGGATCCATCCTCTGGTGGTAGGTCTGGGTAGTTTCTCTCCTTAGCACCCAGTGGGTGTGGCCCAGGGGCGACCAGCCACATCTCTGCAGATGTTTTGCCCCTTGAGACTCCGTCCACAGCTCGGGAGGGACTGCAGAACTCACACAGCCCTTGGCCTGCGCCCCTGTTACCAGAGAAAGGAGGCTTTGCCAAGGACTCAGGGGGAGTGGACTCGGCTCTGTTTGGGACCCAGCCCTCCCCGAGACATTGTAGAGCCGACGGGGCCTCCAGACACAAGCCCTGCTGCCCCACCCCAGCCAGGGTGGTGCTTGTGTGGGAAGGACTTTAAATCCAGCCGCCAGACCCCTGGACGGGAGAGGCAGGCAGTGCTGGCCACCATGTACAGCTCCTGCAGTCTCCGGGCACTGCTGCTGCTGCCACCACTGCTGCTGGTGGCCACTCCAGACCCCGCCAGAGCCCTCACGAAGGATGAGCAGCGTGCCATGGTGGAGCTGCACAACCTCTACCGTGCCCAGGTGTTCCCGCCGGCCTCCGACATGCGACGGATGGTGAGTGCGGCTGGGGGAGCGGTGCCGGGCAGGGCCCACTGCCCAGTGCTCCTCCCCACTTCCACCCCCCATGCTGAAGCTGGCTGTCTCAGGAGACCCGCCTCTGGGGCCAGTGACAGGGTCCTGACATTGTTCACCTCACAGGTTCCCATGAGCGGCCCCATAATACAGATGAGGAAACCGAGGTTCAGAGGGACATGCTTGGGCTCCTGCAGCTCATCTGGAAGCCCTGGCTTCCCACTCCAGTGGCCCGTCCCAGCACTTCCAAAAATGCATGTGCCTCTGTAAGGGGGGCACCTTTGTGACAAGAGTCTTGAGAAGCCCCTCAAGATGATGGGGAAAGGAAGGGCAGCTGATGGGTCTGCACTTGGGGCAGGAGGGAGGTACTGAGGAGGCGGGTGGGAGCAGGAACCAGAAGCAGAGGGAGCTCTGGACCCCACAGTCCAAATTCTGTCTCCATCACTAATGAGACCTATGATTTGGGCCAAGTCCTTTCAGCATCTGTCATTTTCTCATCTGTAAAATGGGGTCATAATCTCTCTCTCTCTCTCTCTCTCTCTCTCACACACACACACACACACACACACACCACTGATTGAACCTCACAGATATAATTTTGTGGGCAGGGATGAAATCTCAAAAAAAAAAAAAAAGTACATAAATATACTATTTATGTACCAGTGAGAAACAGATGCAGGAAAGGCACATGCATGTGTGTAAGGTGACAGAAATCGGATTTTTCCAGGCAGGGAGAGCCATTTGGTGGCAGGGTTAGGAGGGATGTCTGTGCTCAAGATTAGAAATGGGGTGAGGAAATCCACTCCCTTCCTGCCCTTCCCCATGGTCCTCTCCAGCCTCCCCTGGGGGCCTGGGAGGTGGGTGGGCAGTGTCCAGGAAGCCCTGGAGCTGGTCTGAGAGAGCAAGTCACCCCTGGGGAGTGAGCCTGGGGGCCCAAGGCCTAAATTCTAACCTCAGCTCCGTCCCATCTGGGTTAGTGACTCTGGGTGCCCCTTTCCCTTCTGCTTCCTGATGGGAAGATGGGCCTGGCAACCCCCGTCCTGAGAGTCAGACAGGATGAGACGGGTGAAAGCTGTGGGAAGGGCTCTGCCTACACGCCCAACGCCCCATTCACAGCCCGTTGGCCTTGGCAGCCCGGAAATGCAGACGACAGAGAGCCCCTGATGATGGCCTCCACTCTGCCAACAGCCCCCTGATTGCAGCCTGGGACCTGTTGGGCCTCGGTGTCCCTGTCTGTAGATCCCCAATGCCCTCCCGTCTTGCAGGCCCAGGATGAGGGTCTACGCAAGCTGGAGCAGTTCCCAGACAAGAGGTGCCTCCTGGAGTATGGCCACATGCTGGGAAGCAGTGCCAGATGTCAGAGTGATGTGCAGCTGCCTCGTGGGAAGTGATAAGGTGGAAATGAGGCTGGGCCAGTGTCAGGATGCGTTCGAGACAGGACTCAGGCTCCATCTCAGTAAGGGGTAAAGGCAGAGCCCCTGGAGCCAGATGGCCTGGATTCTAATTTTGGCTTTCTCAGTGATTAGCTGTACGACTTTGGCCAAGGTATTTATTTAACTCTTCTGTGTTTCAGTTTCCTCATCTGTGAGGTGGGAATGATAATAGAACAGCTCCCTGCAGGGTAGTTATACAATTAAATGAGCAAGATGTGTAAAGCTCTAGGAACAGTGCCTGACACACAGCAGTGCTCAATGAGTGTGTGTGTGTGTGTGTGTGTGTGTGTGTGGCACTGGGGATTGAACCCAGGGCCTCACACATGCCAGACAAGTGCTCGACCATGGAGCCACACCCCCTGTCGCACACTGGAGAGAATGGATCCCGGGTGAGGCAGGTTTGTCTTATCGCAGCTGCTCCCCTCTCTCTTAGCCTCCACTCTACTTGTCACCACTTTTACCTTCCAGAGGGTTCCATTGAACCCCACTCCTACCTCCCCACCCTCAGCCTTTTCTCTCTTTGACACAAACCAGGTTCAGTCTTCCATTTTCTGCACCCAGAGACTCCTAGGATAGCCCCCACCTCCTTCCCAGCCGCTGGCCTCTGCTACAAGAATGAGAGCTCTAACACATGGCTCTGCCCCTTGTCCAAGACCTTCAGTGGCTCCTACTGGCTCCCGACTGCCTCCTCATTGAGAAAGCCCTGTGTGTTCTGGCCGCTGCCTCTCTCTCTCCAGCCCCCTCTCCCGCTCACCCTTAGCCTTCAGTTACCTGAGCAGCTTGGCTTTCCTCAAGTCTGAGGAGGGTAAAGGCTTGGAGTACAGATTGTCCCAAGGGGAGTGGGAATGTCTCAGCTCTGTGCTTTGCATGAGCGCCTCTCCCCCCCCCCCCCGGCTCCACCTGGCCAACATCTTTGAACACTTGGCTGGGTGTCCCCCTTCTCCACCCTCAGCCTGGGCTAAATGGCCCTCTTTGGTGCCTGGTAGTGCTCACTGCTTATGGTATTTACCACATCCTGATCCAGCTGACTTTACAACCCTATGAACTTGGGCTCCTTGGTGCTTGCTGTTGTCCTAGTGCTGACACAGTGCCCAGGAGTATGGAATGAATGGAAGGACTAGGGAACTGGCTCCCAGTTGGTGACCAAGTGGCCAAGGTGGATGGAGCACCTCTACAGGGCGCACTGGATGACTGACTGAGAAGCCTTCATACCCAAAGCCACGACTCTGTAATGGTAGGACGTCAAGCGTCTAACCTGGACTCTGTAGGGAGCCTGCTTTAAGCAGAGCCACTTCTGCCATCAATAGTCGACAGTATGTGTTAAGCACGACTGTGTCAGACACTGGACACATGACTGCCCTACCCTGAGGGAGTGTACTGTCTAGCCTGGAGCCTGCAGTTCACCCCAGATTGCATTCTGGTCCACCCCCTCTCCAACTCTTCCACCATTGCTGAATTTGACAGGGACCAGTGATTTGGGACAAAAATGCCCAGAGAGAGAAAGGGATTCATTGAGGTCCCAGCCCTAACCTTGTCCCAGCCTGGACCTTCCATCCCCACTCCAGCAGCTGCTCGGGAGCCCTGAGTGGGTGGGGAGTGGGCGTGGCCACACAGCCCCCTCCTCTGGGGTCACCGGGCTCCTGCTGCTTTATGGGCTGTCTGGCTCTCAAAGCTGGCTGAGCCTGGAGGGTGGAGCAACAGTTGCCGCCAGGACATCCATTTCCAGGAGAGGCCAAGGACAAAGTTTAATGGGATCCAGGCCTCCCTCCCCAGTCCTTTGGGTCAGATGCCTTGCTAGTTCCTCCTCCCACCCACACTCAGTCTGTCCTCCCAGCCAGAAGCAGAACCTCAGAGGCCCTCTATCCTAACATGCCCCCTCCCAGCATCTCACCTGAGGCCCCCTGCCTCTGGGACCTGACAGTTGTGGATTACTAGGGCCAGAAGATAGGCAGCCGGGCCCTTCAGTGAGGGGCCTACTGCATTGTCACACAAGACGCTTAATTTTCTTGGGGAAAGGCATTGTCAGATGACAGTTGAGAGCACTTAGAATAGCACCTGGGAGGGAAGCCTGGAGAGGATAAAGGCATGGGGCTGGACCGTCCCAAGGGGAGTGGGGAGAGAGGGAAGAGGAGGGCGAGAGACAAAATGGACTGAATAAACACCCCAGCCTTGGCCATCTCACTGGACGCCTTGTGGGCTTCAGAGCAGTTTAAATGCCCTGAGAAGGGTATCACTGCCCGCCTTGTACATAGAAGATTAATAACTGTCACAGACACCATATGGGTGACTCAATCTTCCTGCTACCTAGGAGAGTTCTCTCAAGTCACACAGGTGGTGAATGGTCCCAAGTTTGAGGAAATTTTCTGCCTGGGGTGGCTCCCTCTCCCTTTCCCACAGAAGCCCATCAGGAGCAGAGACCTGCTACAGGTCATGACTCAGGGTCACCTCTCTAAGGCGAGTGGGTGGCTGGATGAGTCTCTGGACCCCTCAGGCCCCCAGGACACCCTCAATCTTCTGCCCTGATCCCTGCAGGATCTGTGGGCGCCCTTACCTCCCTCTCCCACTTCCACTGTGCCCAAGGCGTCCTCACCTCCCTCCCACATGCCCTGCAGAGGTGGGACCCGGAGCTGGCCGCCTTCGCCAAGGCCTACGCACAGCAGTGCGTGTGGGGCCACAACAAGGAGCGCGGGCGGCGCGGAGAGAACCTGTTCGCCATCACGGACGAGGGCTTGGACGTGCCCCTGGCCATGGAGGAGTGGCACCACGAGAGGGAGCACTACAACCTCAGCGCCGCCGCCTGCACCCCAGGCCAGATGTGCGGCCACTACACGCAGGTGCGAGGCACGGCTGGCGGGGCGGGGCCTTGGGGCGGGGGCGGGGCCACGTGCCCGAGGGCGGGGCGGGGCGGGGCCATGGCGGGGGCGGCCACCTCTTCTCTCACCTGCCGGGAAGCCTCTCCACTTCCCCAAAGTGGGTCCTCAGCACTCTCACCCCTAGGTGCTCACTAAGACCCATCACTGCACAGCCAGTATGGGCTGCGGAGGCCTTTGACGAAGTCTGCTTCTCAAACTGCCCGAACTATCGTCATTTTACTCCTTAAAAACCATAAATTTTGTCGGGTTCAGTGTCTCCGGAGACTGACGCAGTAGGATCTCGAGTTCGAGGCAAGCCTCAGCAATTTAGCGAGGCCATAAGCAACTCAGCGAGACCCTGTCTCTAAATAAAGTATAAAAAAAGGGCTGGGATGTGTCTCAGTGGTGAAGAACCCTGGGGTTCAATCCCTGGTACCAAAAAAAAAAAACAAACAAAAACATAAAACCATCTTTTGAAAACCCAGACCACCCTTTTTGGCCTGATCTGGCAAGACATAAGTTAGATGTCACAGAGCCAGTTTCGTGGATGGTAGTTATTGTCATAGGAGAAATTTGGACTGGGCTCTAAGCAGTCCTGCTCTCTCCTGCTTTTGTCTAAAATATGCAGGGCCATTTGCCCCCGGCAGCAAATGCCCCTTAACTTTGCTCTTTTCTCCCTCTCTCTCTCCTGATGTGTATCATGATGCTTAATTTGTTGAATCTAATCCACCTGGGACTAAAAGAGCAAATAGACAACCTTGTTTAATTTTTGCTTTAATTAACTATGTACAAGAGCAAACTGTCTCTGTAAGCGACTCTGGAGGCTAAAGCAGGAGGATTGCAAGTTCCAGCCCAGCCTCAGCAACTTATTGAGACCCTCACCAACTTAGTGAGACCCTGTCTCAAAGTAAAAAATAAAATGTCTGGGGATGTGGTTCAGTGGTAAAGTGCCCCTGGGTTCAATCCCAGTGCCAATAAATAAATAAGGCAAATTGTCACTGAAGGAAGATTTCGGGGAGCCTTCTGACACCATTCTCTGCCTCTTACAATCACCTGTTGCTCACGGCTGGGTTCTCACTGCGTTTGAAAGTTTGGGCTTAAGTTAAGAGGCACGTGAATGCTAAGGGGTGGGCGGGGGTGGAGGTCTTGACCTTCTTGTTGAGTCCTGTTTTCTTCTCTCAGTGCTTATTTGTCAAATACAAATGACAACATGACAAAAATATTCAAAGAAAAGGAAACCAAACATCTTCCCACCACGTCCTCCAGTTCCATTTCTTTGTGCCTCTTTTAGGTGGTATTTTTAGTCTTGATCTTTAGGGAAGGAAATCTCAACAGCACCCACCCAGATCAGGAAGCTGTGAGGCCCCAGGACCCTCCCAATCCTCTTCCCTCCTGCCCTGCCACCTCTCCCCCTCTCCATGCACACACAAGCTCCCAGAGGGACTGTTGGCGGTGCCCAGCAGGATCCTGTATGCCCAGCTCCACCCCAGCTTTCTCTGGGCTGTGGGAACAGGCACTGTGTGTCATTTCTGCATTGAAGATCTTCAGCTGATAAGCAGAAAGACTCCTAGGCAAACTCCTCCTAGAAATAGCAAGGGAAGGTTGGTGGTTCCACCCATGGCAGCACACAGAGGTCATTTTTTTTTTTTTTTTTGTGGTACTGGGGATTGAACATGAGAAGCAAGCACTCTACCAGTGGAGCTATATCCCCAGCCCCACAAGAATTTTATACTGAAGATGGAATACATTCTAGCAGCTAGGAGACCCATGCCTAGAAACAGGAAGAGCAGGTTCTTGCCTCCGTGTGGTTTGGGAAAAGTTCCACTTTCAGAGTAACTGCACCAGTGTCCTCCTTGGACTTCTTGTGGTTGATGCCTAAGCTTCTTCCATTTAAGAACCATTTCTTTGTATAAAATGCAAGGATCTTTAGGAATAACCCACAGGAAAAATTCAAGAGGGTATATCAGAACTCTGGAACTGCAGGAAGATTTAAAGAGGGAAGGAGGCACACCTGTAACCCCAATTCTCCAGAGGCTGAGGCAGGAGGATCACAAATTTGAGGCCAACTTCAGCAACTTAGTGAGACCCTGTCTCAAAAAAAAAAAAAAAGGCTAGGAATGTAATTCAGTGGTTAAGCACCCCTGCCTTCAATCCCCAGTACCTCCCCCCAACCTCCATGCATCAGGAAAAGAGGCCTGGGGAATTGGTAGGTTTGGCAAGGAAGAGTAGACTGTTAGGGAAGAACTCCCCCACCTCCACCTTCTTGTTCAAAAATATTCAAAGAAAAGGAAACCATATGCAGGGCCATTTGCCCCCGGCAGCAAATGACCCTTAACTTTGCTCCTGAACCAGTGATGGGCGGGGGTGAGGGTACCGAAGCCTCCCCTCCAGCACCATCCTCACCTCTTGCAGGGGGAACGTGAAGGGACAGAGGTCCTATCAGGAGGGAATTCCGTGCTCGCAATGTCCCCCTGACTTCCACTCTTGTTCAGTGTGGTCAGGGAATTGATGCCTGGTGTAGGCTGGTGCAGACAGACACCAGTAAGGGACCATGCCACCCAGTTCAGGGCTAAGCTGTCGGGTTGGCTGTCCTTCAGGTGGTTTGGGGCAAGACAGAGAGGATCGGCTGTGGTTCCCACTTCTGTGAGAAGCTCCAGGGAGTTGAGGAGACCAACATCCATCTACTGGTGTGCAACTACGAGCCCCCGTAAGTGCTGGGGAAGCCCCAAGGATGGGGGGAGGTGGGGAGGCGGGAGTGGGCAGAGCCAAGGAGATCTGAACTGGGTCGGGCCTGAGGAAGTGGGTGTCAGTCTGGGGCTATATTCTCCAGGGAGCTGAGAGGGTACCAATGGGGTCGCCTCTCCTTGGCCAGAGAAGGCCACAGGGAGCCCGAGGTCGCCCAGCGATTTATTAGCGGGAGGCAGCAGACCCAGGGGCACTTGTAAACGAGTGTGTGAACGAGTGAAGGGACGGGGTGGGGGTACAGAAGCCTCCCCTCCAGCACCATCCTCGCCTCTTGCAGGGGGAACGTGAAGGGACAGAGGCCCTATCAGGAGGGAATTCCGTGCTCGCAATGTCCCCCTGACTACCGCTGCGAGAACTCTCTCTGCGGTGAGCTGGGGCGATCGCGCGGGGCGGGGGCGGGGAAGAGGTCCGCGCCGCTGGACGGACTGGACGGGTGTGGCAGGGGAGGGGTGGGATGCGACCGCCAGGAACCCCCGGCGGTTCGCTTTGCCTTTTGCGCATCCAGTTTAGTTTGGTCCGGTCATGCCAGGTGACCAGATTCCAATCTTCCCGCGGTCACTACGGAGGGTAGAGCAGAATCCCGAGGCTCTCCAGCAGCGCGCTAGAGGTCCGCTGGAGAAGGCCGGAGAAAAGGGCTCGGGCCGCGCCAGTGGGCGTGGCGGAGGGGCTGGGGGCGGGGCCTGCGGGGCGGCAGGTGCCTTAGGAACCCGCGCGCAGCTGGAGGATGTCCCTGAAAAGCGGCGAGGTCGCAGGGAAACTGGAGAGAGGTGGATGAAGGAGCAATTGTGCCAGTAACAAGAAGGGAGGGCCGGGGGCGGTAGCGCCGTGGCAGAGTGTCCCTGAGTTCAATCCCCGGTACCAAAAAAAAAAAAAGTAACATTTATTATCAGTGAGGGACATCCCCGAGGGACATACCCGCTGGGGAGGTGTCCCTATCGGTGTCTGTGCGTCCTGGTAGCCGCGGTTGCCCCGCGTTGGTTGCGGTGGCGGAGGGAGGTGGGGTCCGGTTTGCGACACTGACACGCGGCCTTGGGTGTCTTATCAGAACCCATCAGTGGCCCGGAAGAGGAGCAGGATTTGCCCTCCCTGGAAACTGCGGCCCCGTCCACTCGGGCCACGGAAGCCTCAGGCTCCAGGAAAGCCGGCGCTCCTTCCCCGGCGACAGAGGTCGCGCACTCCTGGGTGACAGAGGTCTCGGGCTCCCCGGCCACGCAGGCCCCGCCCACTGTGGAAACAAAGACTCGGTCCTCCTCAGCCACCAAGGAGCCCTCGGCGACGGCCACAGAGGCTCCGCCTTCCCTAACGAGTGAGGTCCCTTCTGCGTCAACAGCTCACGACCCGCTCTCCTTGGATGAAGGGCCGGTCACCGTCCCCAAATCGACCCATGTTTCTGTTCCAAAATATGCGGACAAAGTAGAAAGCGAGACAAGAGCACCCTCCATAAGCCCAGAGAAACCTCTTTACCCTGAGATGTCCCTGACAGGGACAAGGGAATCCCTACCCCATGCTCAGGAAGAAGCTGAGGCAGAGGCTGAGGCAGAAGCCGAGCTGCTTCCTTCCAGTGAGATCTTGGTGTCAGATATTCCAGACCAGGACAAACCAGATGAGTTGCAGGCCACCCTGGACCACACGGGGCAGCCCTCCTCCAAGTCCCGGCCCAATGTCCCCAATGCTCCTTCTGCTGCTAATGCCAGGGGTGGGCGTACCCTGGCCCTGCAGTCATCCCTGCCAGGTAAGGGCTGTAGCCTCCTTCCTTCCCACCTGCCTCCAGCGGAGGTGGCCTGGGCTGGCAAGGTCTGCACCCGCAGCAGGCACTTCCTCCCTGGCCCCAGCTCCCTGCTGGGGGTGGGCTGGTGAGGCCGGTGGCAGCTCTCTCCAGCTGAGCCAAAGCCCCTTCCTTCCCACAGGTACAGAGAGCAGGGAGTGGAGGCTGAGCTCCGGTCACATGTGGGGTCCTTCCCAGGGACTACTGCTGCTGTCTCCCCTGATGTTGGCTGGACTCTTCTGAAGGGGACAACATTCAAGGCAAGCCTGGGGGAAGGGAGGGGAACCCTGACCTCCTGCTCACTCAGGTTGTCTTTTTCCAAGTAAGAGGTCCCCATTTCCTGGGAAGATCCTGCTCTGTGGCCCAAGTGCCTCCTCTGCACCCCAGGTTCTGGCCAGATCCCAGGCCAGCTCTGATCCCCTCAGGAGGCCTCAACAGGACTAGCCCCTGACTGCCTCAGGAGGGAGTGCCTATTCCTGGGGTGTGGGGGACACAGACTTCTGAGCAGTTTCCAGTGGCCACGAGTACCCGGTATCTAGTTGTCTTGTGGCCGCAGGCTGCTCTCCTGGAGCCAGAGGATCTCGGGCTTCCCAGGAGCCCCTTGACCCCTTCCAATCTCCTGGCCTCTTCCTCAAGCCATTTGAGTACAGGGCTGTCCCCAGACGTGCCTCCTGCCTTCCCAGGTCGCTGCTCAACTGCCATCTCCCCACCCTGTTCCCAGCCCCTCAGCTTCCTGGCTGAAGGCCCTTGGGGAGGGAAGGGCTGCCAGGCCTGTGCCTCATCCGGCCGCACCATCCCCGCTGGCTGCCAGTTCAGGGACCAAGATGGCTGCACTCCAGCCAGGACCCCTCCTGCCCCAGCATGGATTCCTGCAGGGGGTGGGATTCTGGGCGCGCTCCTGTCCAGCAGGACCGCCCTGCGCTGTTAGGCTGTGGGTCCGTGTGCCCATGCGGCTGGGGAGGCAGGGGCGGAGGCACAAGCCCTACCCAAGTGGGGTTCTCTGGATTGGGAGGCAGGGACCAGAGGAGGCCCCCTGACTCCTGAATAAAGCCTATTTGGGAGCACCCAGTGCCCCAGTGCTTATGAGGGCTGAAGGCAAGGAGGGCAATGTGGGAGGCCCTGCCTAGGCTCTCCCCCCACCAACCTGTGACCCTGGAGTCCCCCTTCACATCTTCTCCCCCCAGATACTCCATCTGGTCCCTTCCTGTAACTCCCCGCCACCCACATCACAGGCCACACAGGAAAGGGCAGGCCCGGGGCTCTGGTGATCTGGTGACTCCCAATGGGGCCTAGCTGGTTTGAGGCTCAGGGTCGGCAAGGTGTCTGACCTTTACAGAGGGTGCCGCTGCCCAGGCCCCCTGCAACGGGGTTAGGAATGCACTGCAGGCAGGGCTTGGCCCTGGTGCTGGAGGAGCCCCGAGGTCGGATTCTGGGGTCCCAGATGCTTTTCCAGGAAAACAGAGCAGGCTCTTCCAGAAGTGCCTTGGGCCAGGAAAACACAAGTGGGGACAGCAGCAAATGGGTGACCAAGGGTGGTGGGGGGAGCAGAGCAGGCCGAAGCAGGAGGGGCAGGAATGGCAGGATGGCCTGGTTACAGGCCAGGCTGCAGGCTTCAGAGGTCCTGCCTCATTTTCTTTATATACATTTTTAGCTCCATTAATAACCCACGTTACCTAAGATTTGCCACTCAACACAATATTCTTAGTATATTCACAGGACTGTGTAACCACCACTTCTAGCAATTTTAGAAATTTTCATTATCCCCAAAGAAACACTACACCTGCTAGCAGTCACTCCCCATTTCTAGCCACACCACTCCAGCTAAAGTAACCACTAATATACTATCTACATGAATTGACCCATTCTTAACATTACATATGATTTCCTGGTAAACCATATATAATTTGTGATTGCTTCTTTCACTTGTCTTCAAGCTCATCAATGTCACATGGATCAGAACTTCATTCTTTTTTATTGTCAAGTAATATTCCATTCTCTGGAATTTTTTCCCTCAGTGTTAAGGGTTGAACCCACGGTCTTTTTTTTTTTTTTTTTTTTTAAGGCAACAGACTCTTTATTTAATGTGGTTTAAAATACATCAATAAAGTCCCTGGCTGTTGTGAATACCAAAAGGAGATTCACTTCCCCCACGCCCCCGCCGCCCAAACCCAGGGTCTTGTGCATGCAAGGCAAATGCTCAACCACTGGGCTACATCCCCAGCCCTCTGGAATGCATTTTATTCGTCCATTCATAATTCATTCATTCAGGTGTCAGCTGGTAGACATTTCAGTTCTTTCCACTACTGAGCTATGAATAATGCCACATTAAGTATTCATGTACCAGTTTTTTTTAACATGAGTTTTCAGTTTGTTTGGGTATATACGTGGAATACCTGGGTCATAGTTAACTTTAACTTTTGGAGAAACCCTGAACTGCTTTTACATTCTCACACCAAGCATGTGAGGGCCTCAGGACCCTTGTTCTTCTCTCCATCACAGGCACCCTAGCAGGTGAGAAGCAGTATCCCCTGGTGGTTTCAATTTGCACTTCCCTGATGACTAACCTGATGGCTATTTGTCTTGGGCTGTGTATTTGTCCTTTCCTGAGTTGTAGGAGTTCTTTATACATTCAGTACAAGTCCTTTATCAGATAAATGATTTGCAAACATTTCCTCCCATTCTGTGGCTTCTCATTCTTTATATTCTTTAATATAAGTTTTAGATTTTGATGTCAAATCTATTTTTTCTTTTGTTGCTTGTGCTTAAGATGTCATCACCTAAGAAACCATTGCCTAATCCAAAGTCGTAAATATTTATACTTGTGCTTCCTTTTTAGTTTTAGTTCTTAAAATCTTTAATCAACCATTTTCAGTTTATTTTTCCTATGAATCCAGCTTCATTCTTTTACATGTGAATATCCAGTTGTCCCAGCACTTTTTGTTGAAAAATTATTCTTTTCTCATTAAATTGTCAAAAATCAATTGACCATAAATTTGTTTATTTCTGGGCTCTGAATTTTATTCCATATGCCAGAGTTTAATTAAGCAGCTTTTGTATTGAAGTTTTGAAATCAGGACACGCGAGTTCTTGAACTTTGTTCTTCTTTTTCAGGATTGTTTTGGCTATTCTGGGCCCCTTGAATTTCCATATGAATTTTAGGATCAGCTTGTCAAATTTCTGCCAAGAAGTCAGCAGAGTATTTGTTACAGACTGTGTAATCTGCCATGTTAAATCAACCATGAACATGGGCTGTCCCTCCACTTAATGAGCCCTTCTTTAATTTCTTTCAACAATGTTTGTAGTTTTCAAAGTTTTGCATTTTTTGTTAAACATTCCTAAGCATTTTATTATTTTTATGCTACTGTAAATGAAATTGTTTTTTTTTAGTTTGTATAAAAATAATTTTTTTCAAAATATTGATCTTGTATCCAGCTACCTTGCTGAACTTATTGATTAAATACGTTTTTAAAAAAATGGATTCCTTAAGATTTTGTATAAGTCATGTCATCTGCAAACAGGTCATTTTTTACTTCTTACTTTCTAATGCATATGGTTTTTACTTCATTTTTCTCATGCAGTTTCCTAATGAGAATCTCCTGTACAATATTGACTAGAAGAGGCAAGAATGGACATTCTCATTCCTGGTCTTGGAGGAACCCATTCACTAATGTACCAATCTGAATTCTGGTTTTCTCATAGATGCCATTTTATCGAGCCGAGGAAGTTTTCCCGATTCCTAGTGCACTGAACGTTTGTTTTGTTTTGCTTTGTGGAGCTGGGGACTGAGCCCAGGACCTCACACATGCTAGACACTCTACCACTGAGCTACATTCCAAGGCTCCCACTGAATCTTTTGATCCTGAAGGTTGTCCACTTCTGTGTTGATTATGTGATTTTGCTTTGTCTAAGGATAAGAGTGTGTTCCATTAACTGACAGAGGTTCAACCAGCTGCCTTCCTGGGAGGTCCCTCGCCTGTTTTCTTCAGCTAGTGCCAGGGTCTCCTCTTGGACCAGTTCTTGATCTACTGCCAGGGCCTGGGTGGTGGTTGGGTCGGGGGCCCCCTGGAGCAGGACCCATAGAAGCCCACCTTCTCTAGTCTGGGGGTGGCTCTTCCTGCCTTTTGCAAAGAAGGAGCATCTGCTAACAGCCCTCAGGGAACCTGTCACATGAAAGAACCTGCCTAAAATAAGTAGGGACCCGGGAAATTTATTTTTTGGGGAAATACAAGGACACTGGGCATGATATCCGCACCTGTCAGGCCAAGCTGTGACAGACAGACAGACAGGTTAGGGGGCGAGATGGGCAGGGAGGAGGCTAGTCAGCACAGGCCTTGAGCATAAAGGGCTTGTTGAAGCAGAAAAGGCGCCGGCACTCTCGGAGGCCGTGGGGCCCAGAGGGGAAAGGTCTGCTGCAGCACTGCCACTCGGCTGCTCGGCCTCTGGGGCTGCAGTGACAAGGGCTGCAGAGGGGCCAACAAAGGACACCCCTGTCACCTCAGGCTTCACTACGAGGGGGTCCCAAAAATCCCTTCCCACTTTGCCCATTAGAACAAGACTGTGCGGCCTGCCTCTGGCCCTTGTTGTGGAGTCGGCCTCCTTTCTCAGGCCAGCACCGGCCATTCCAGTTTCTACGACTGACAGAATACCCTGAAACCTAAAAGACCTCAGGATACTACCTCAAGAGGTCACTGACCCTGCCCAAGGCATTGAATGGCCAAGTCCATGGGCAGCCTCTCCAAATATCCAGGAGGATGTGGCTATCAGAGGGAAGGGCTCTTTCAGGGCCAGCTCAGTACAGGCTTCACAGATCCAAATGCCCCTAAATCCGGGGAATCACAGGAAGTCATCAGTGCAAAAACGAATTTGAGGGTGGAGCAGCAGAAAGAAAAGTGACCCTGGAACAGTGGTCAGGACAGGGGCAATCACAGGGCTGGGGAAAGGGGACAGCCAACTCCCCTCTGGGGACCCAAGGCTCGACTGCTCTAAGGAAATGGTGCTGCCGAGGCCTGGACTGATTCCGCCCCACGCCCTCCCCTTCCCACCAGGGAAAGGGGGTGTGGGACCCAAGTCCTGAGGCTTTGGGAGCCTCGAGCACTAGCTGTTTCTGCAGCAGCTGCACAGGCACAGTTCTGTGTTCTGCCAATCAAAGACAACCACATCAAACTTCCCCTGAGTCAACTGTCACCAAACTACTGCAAAAACATCCCAGGGCCTTCCCTGGTGGGGACAACCACCCCATGGTGTGAGGGAAGAATGACCTCAGTGCTAACAAGCCAGGTGTCCTGGAGCAAAGGCAGAGAAGCGAGGTGGGAGCACAGCTGGACCGCAAGACACCTTCTGTTTACAGACCCTGATGCTGGGCAAAACCCAATGGAAAAGAAGGGAAGGGAAGGGAAGCTTATCCCTTCTGCTGCAATCATGTGGCCACTGAAACAAATCACTCAGCAAGACGTGAACACAGGCCATCTTCCAAAGGTGCTGAGACGAGAGGTAAGGGTTGGCGGGAACAGGTTCTGGAAGAGCTGCCTCCCTGGCAAAAGGTCTGACACCAGCTGTTGTTCTGGGGGCTCATCTCACCCTGAGACTGATCCCCACCCAGCCTCACACTCCTGCTCCTGGGCGGTGCTCCCCTCTCCTGCTGTCCCTCTGTCCACACCAACACGGACAGAGAATGACTCTGCTTAGATTTTTTTTTTAATAAATTAGTTTTTTTTTAAGTTGTTGATGGACCTTTATTTTATTTATTTATATGTAGTGCTGAGAACCGAACCCAGTGCCTCACGTGTGCTAGGCAAGCTCTCTACCACTGAGCTACAATCCCAGCCAGACTCTGCTTAGATTTTTAAACTCACAAAAATAAGAAACTCCTCACAAAACTCCAAATCACCACCAATACATTTATTTGAGGGAGGTGGGGTCAAATCTTACCATGAACTTTTATATTGGGTAGGGCTAGAGACAATGATCTGCCTAACTTTTTCACATTCACACAACTGCACAGGTAACCGAATCCTGCACATGAGGTGTCACCATTAAACAGACAAGCATTAGATGAGGGGGACACATTCTGAAGAGTCACATGATTTCCAACTCAGAAAAAGGCGCTGCCCTCGAATCAGAAAAGTAGTGTTGAGGAAATGAAGGCAGAACCTGGCACTGGCCTTCTAGCCTAGGCCCAGTCATGATGGCGGCCTCGTGAAGGGGTCATGCCCTATTTACAAAGCAGGAGAGAGACACTCCCAGCCGAGCTGCAGAGTGAGAGCCGGGCTCCCTGGAGGGGTGCAAGTGGGTGGGACTGATTCCATTAGGCTTCCCTCAACCACCCTGGCTCCACAAGCCTTTCTCTGGCTCTGTACAAGGCCGACTCTGGGAAGTCAGGGAATGACGCCTCAACTCCCCACCCCCCCACCCCACCGTCTCCAGGTCTAACAGGTGACCCCACCCACTGGGTGCAGCCCACCCCTGCGCAACCCCACACCTCAACAGACGCATGGCCAATAAGAAAACTGTAGCCCAGCGGGGCTGGGGTACACCTAGGTGTCGCTGGGCTGCAGTCTCCCTAGAGGTATCCCGAAATGATCGGCCTCACCAGAGGGCCAGGCTGAGACTAGGAGTTTGGTCAGGTGGTTTAGGTTACTCCAGGGCAAAACACGATCCTGATGACACCCGGCGGAAAAGCAGGCTGGAGCCGCGGAACAGCTGGCCCTGGAAGGGAAGGAACGTGACCGTGAGACCAGGAGCTTCCCCATGGCCTCAGAGAAGAGGCACCACGGCTCTGAGGCCCCAGTGCAGGTAGAGGATCGAGGTCTGCATCCTGGGAGGACAAGGTCAGCCTGCCTGTGCTGAGGAGCGAGCAGGCCACCTCATGCCTGGGAGTGCCCAGTGTCTCTGGGGCTCCTCAGGAGAAACTCCCAAGAGGAGACTGGTGCTCTTCTGGCCTCAGAGCCCAAGGGAACTGAGCCTCAAGGGAGGAGTACGATGGAGACTGACTGTAGTGCAGGACCGGCTGGCTGTCCCCCTCCCTCTCTCCACCCTCTTCTCACCTAGAAGCCAGCCAGCACCCTGCTCTCCCCAGGTCAAGGCCGCATTTACCGTGGGGCAAACCAAGGCTGAAAGAAGGCAGGTCTGCCCTTGCCTAGAAGCCTGGTCCCCGACCGCTGGGCCCGGGAGCGCCAGCCGGCAGGAGGCAGCTTCAGCACAACACCCCAGAACCCAGGCCTGTCCCCCACCCCCCACAGGCTCCCCATGTGGTCAGCGCCACTCTGCAGGGCCTGGGGTCCTAGAGAAGGGGACCTCCCGTATGCCTTGTCCCAACACTGGTTCAGCTACTGTGGTCTCGGGCCTCACATTTTCAGTCCAGGTGCCTTGAAGGACAAGTGCTGAGGCCTAACTACCCACCACAGGGGCCAGGACATCCTCATCCTTGTCCTAAGTCTTTAAGAGTCAAGTGAGACTGCACCTTCCGTGGAATTCTTACTTTGTTTGTTCTTCTTAAAGCACAGAGGCTCACTGTGCTGCCCGGGCTGGCCTCAAACTCCTGGGTGCTTCTACCTCGGCCTCCAGGGGCTGGGACGATGGCCGTACGCCACCACACACAGCTCTGATGTGTCTTTTAAATGAATCCAAACTGAGCCACCTCAAATCCTTTCTTAAATTAGGTGAAGTGCAAATTTAACTTAAAAGCCTTAAACCAAGTGTCTGTATTTTCTCTATTCTCCGTACTAGAAGCCTGGTCCCCGACCGCTGGGCCCGGGAGCGCCAGCCGGCAGGAGGCAGCTCCAGCACAACACCCCAGAACCCAGGCCTGTCCCCCGCCCCCCACAGGCTCCCCATGTGGTCTGAGCCCTTAGTCGCCCCTACAATGAAGAGCTCACAGAACCATTCAGGGGACAGTTGTGGCAAAGAATGGGAAAAGCCTCCAGCCTCCCGGGCTCACTCACCTGCACACTCAGGTACTTCCAGCAATGAATCCAGGATTTGAACACTGGGGAGTAGGGGGGGAGCCCAGCCTGCAGCCTGTGGGAAGGACAGTGTGTGAGAGCCAGAGGACAGAGGGAGGCAGGTCAGCTACACCCTCAAGAAAACAGCCTTGGGCTGCCACCTGCCGACATCCAGAAATCAGGTTCACCTCACAGGGCGTTGGTGGATCCAGGGGAACTGTGTACATGGGGAGGTGGGAGGGGGCAGAGAGCCAGGAAGGCCCGGCTGGGGAAGCCCGCAGTCAGCAGGGCCGCGGAGGGCTGCACACCTACCCACAATTGTTCACAGCCATGAGGTCTCCGACCAGTAGGAAGGGGTAGGTCAGCATGCTCACTGCGATCTGAAACCCAGAGAGACCTGAGTGCCGGCGGTCTGCCCAGCCCAGCCCTGCACACGCTGCGCAGCACCTTGCACTAAGACCCGCCTCCCCGTCCCAAAGCTGGCCTGAGCTCCACCCCGCCCACAGGGAAGGCCAGGGCAGCTGGACTTACCCCCATCACAAACTTGGTGTAGCTCCGGATGGCCAGGGCCTGGCTGAACTGAGGAGACAGAAAGGGAGTGCGGCTTGCCACGGACAGCTCAGGATGCAGACTTCAGCCCTGCAGACCCCGCCTCGCCCTCCACACCCTGACCCACCCACACTGCATAGGCTGCCTCCATCTCAGGGCCCACTGCGTCCATGGCCTAGAAGGGCCCCAGAAGACCTGAGGCAGAGGTACAGGAACTGGCTGAGGACTCCAATGAAGGAGATGGGAGCACAAGGTCACCTGCTGCTGGCTTGTGTGACATCGTGAGTCAGCTCCCAGGACATAGCTTATACCTGCCTGGCTGCGTCCAGGGCCTGGGCTAGTCAGGGCTCACTGAGTGAACCAAAAGACGGACTCCCGTCCAGACACCCAGAGAAGCCTGGCCCTGGGCCTAAGGAGAGGGAAGACTCAGGCGGCTGCCACCTCCACCTCACCAGGTTGCTGCCCCCTTGGTGAGGGGCAAAGCCAAAAGCCCCACTCCTAAAACTTTGCCCTGGGAATAAGCTAACAAGGAAGGTCACTGCCCATCCCTCGGCTTCCTGTGGAGTAGCCATCCCACCAGGGATTCCCTGACCTGGGCAGAGATTGCCCAGCCCTCTGCCTGGGCGGCTCAGCAGGTCGGCAGCCCCACCTGAGCCTGGAAGCCCACACAGAAGACCCCTTCCATGCGGCGCCTGACTCTGCTGCTGCTGCTGAAGTGCAAGCAGCTGCCCAGCCAGACCAGAGTAGCCAATCCATAGCCTCCACCAAGACACCCAGCTGTCCCGGGCATGCTCTGCATACGACAGCAGCAGTGCACCCACCCACAAGGTCCCCAAGGAAGGGCAGAGCTGCAGGCATGTGGGACGGGGTGTCTTCATGGAGCTTATATTGAGAGGCCAGTTAAGACTCACCCAAGTTCAAGGGCCAGCCAGCCTTGCTGTGGGAGCAGAGCTCTCATCTGGGGCCACAGACCTGTGCCCAACACCCCCAACCCCCAGCCCATACTGGGCCCACACAGCCCTGTGGACCCTGCCCCTCCCCGACCAGGCTGATTCTGGCAGGCGGGTCCCCGGGTCCCTCACAATCCTCCTGGGCTTGGCTGTCCCTATAGCCCCACAAGAAAACCACATTGCCCAGGAGATGAGGGATGAAGCCACTAGGAGTTCCAGCCCCTCACAGCTCTCTAACCCTTGCCTTAGTCCAGCAGAACCTGTCACCCACCAGGCGCCCAGAGCCTTTCCTCACCAAGCGCCTGCAGAGGGACCAACTGCTCTCACGCCTGACGGACCTGCTGAGGCCTGTGTGCACCAGGCTGGGAGAGCCCTGCCAACAACATGGGGGAGCTCCCGCCCGGCTACAGAGATCACCAGAGAATTCCGGGGAAAGCACCCTCAGTCTAGCAAAGGGAAGGACCTGGCCCAGTCTTGTTGGTTCCAGCCCAGTGACTTTGGAGCGCTCATTTAACCTCAATTTCCACTATCGGTGTCATCCACCTGTCCTGTTTCCTTGACAATCAAGGCTGGCAGGACCAAAGGTCGTAACCTTCACAGAGGACTTTGAAAGCATAAAAGAAGAAGCAAAATCTTCTGATTTCAGAGTCTTGGTTGAGTCTCTGCCCAAAGTACCCTGAGGAACACTGGAATGGTAAAGCTGCCCAGGACAACCGCCCTCCCAAGTCTGGGTACCAATCTAACATCCCATCTTTCCCCAGGCAAAGCCGAGACACCAGGACTTCTAGGGGCCTCTGTCACCCTCAGGGCGAGGGAATTCCAGAGTCCTGGACCTGTCTCAGACCCTGGGAGTCAGGAGTACATGGAGGTAAAGAAGGACAAGTCCTTGTTCCAACCAACCTGGGAACCTGGATTCTGGTCGTTTCCCAGCCCCCCTGGGGTGTCACTCACGCTGTCATCCACCAGGTAGGCATTGATGAAGTGGGCCAGCAGGTTACAGCCCCACAAGAAAACCACATCGCCCAGGAGATGAGGGATTAAGCCACTAAAAAAACAAGGTGAGCAAAGTGAGGGGGGAGCGAGGGGCGAGGTCCTGGGGCTTCACACCCAGGAAGCAGGGAGGAGGTTCCAAGCTCAACATTTTAGCACCCCCAAGAGCAAAGCCTCAGAAGGAGAACCCACAGGCCCTTGTGAGCCAGCAGCGGCCCACCAGAAAGGCCGGGGTCCTCGTCCCCGAGGTGTTACAGGCCACTTCTAATGCCACAAACTGTTGGTGGTCTCAAGCAGTTTTTAAACCACAGAAGCCAGGCATCAAGATGTGAGAGTTGCACATCTCAGATTTTCAAGTGCAGATGATGAAAGTATCCACATGTTGGCAGCTTTCTCCTGGCCTCCTCACCAACTGTGTTCAGTAAACCTCTTCACCCCTAGAACATCCCACTGGCAACATCCCATGCAAATGTTTCCAAGGAGGCCACCTCATAGACCAACTCATAACGTGACGACCTTTATGGCAAAAGCTCCAAAGAGCCCACAGGGAAGGCTCCCGAAGGCAGTGCTGAGGGCACTAAGCCACAAGTGCCACTTGGGTCTTTTGGGGTGTTTTGTTTCCTTCTGCAGCACTGGGGATGCGGTTCAGGGGTGTCGACCATGAGCCACATCCCAGCTTTAAAATTTTTCCGTTTTAAGACAGAGTCTCGCTAAGCTGCGCAGGTTGACCTGAACCTTGGAGCCTCCTGCTTCGGCTTCCCAAGTGTGTGCCACCGTGCCCGGAGGCCACTTCTGCTCTCCACATATGCTTATTTGCTTGTAGAGGAACAGAGTGCCTCGGGAAGTGCTCCAGGGGAATGGCTGTCTCTTGGGAAGGGAAGCAGAGTCATTTCTGAATTTTTAAAAAGTCTTTTGGAAAGCTCAGAAGAATATATGTTAACACATGTATGAGGACTAGCAATCAAAGGATTCTTTTGGGATGCGATTCCTAACAGGGCGTCCCTGCCCGTGCTCAGGTGACCATGCACGGGAGCTCTGGGACTTGTAACACAAATGGGTACTGCCTACTCCAAACCCCCGGGGAGAAAGAACCCAAGGGCTGGCGTGAAAACGCCAGAGGTGGTGACACAGTGTTTCAAGGCCTAAAGTACCAAGTACACAGGCGAACACGTACTCACATACTTACACACATGTGTGCATGTATGTGTGAATGTGCGAGTGTGTACATCAGCGCGTCTCAGCCTCGGCGCTGTCGCATTTGGAGCCGAGTGACGCTTTGCTGTGTGCTGCTTCCATGCTACAGGACACCCAGCAGCACCCTGGTCCCTCTCCACTAGGTGCTGGGTCTGACAATGAGATGGCTCTGAGAACCCTGATGACAGCCACATGTGATATATGAATGCACACAGACACACACCCCCTCACAGGAATCCCTTGGCTAAAGAAATGCTATAAATAAAACCCTTGGAAAGGGTTGGAAAACCGTAATATAAGACATTATATTAATATACTATAACTATAGAATATCATTAATATGTGATAATATCCCATAAGTAAAAAATATACTAACAACACGGGACCCGATACTCGTGCACTATACATGGAACAGCTGTGTCACCACCTAGATCTGGAAAAGGAAGACAAAACACATACTTGTCAAGCCTGGCTTCTGAGTTCTGTTTGTAACTTTTTTTTTTTTGGGGGTGGGGGGGAGGTGCTGGGGATGGAACCCAGGGTACTCCATCACTGAGCTACATCCCCAATCCCCTTTATTTTACTTTTGAGACAGGGTCTCTCTGAGTTGCCTGGCTGGCCCAAGCCTCCCGAGGGGCGCTCTGGTGGGCGCGGCTTGGACTTTCTGAACAGCCTCTCGTCAGGTGAGTAAGGAGACAACCGAGCGCAGGAGGTCGGTGACCATCAGGACATCATGTGCCCTTGGGCCCCAGCCAGTGGCTGCTCTTAGAAACAGAACCAAGGGCCAGATTTTCTGACTTTTCAAGAGAAACCAGAAACACAAACTCTGATTGGCCAGGACAGACACGACTGGCTGGAGTTGGCCTGTGGCTCCCAGCACTCGACCCTTCAGTCCAAGTCTCAGGGTTTCAGGCACTCCTGGAGTGAAGCCAAGAACTACGGGTGCCGTGGCTCGTGAAGACCACTGCCAACGCCCACCTGCAGCCCCCGGGGTGAATGGCCAGGGCCTCGCGGGGCCACTCCATTCATCTCCCCTGTGCGCTGGGTAACAGTCCCTGTTTGTTTGTGGTGCTACAGATTGAACCCAGAGCCTGGCGCGCGCTGAGCCACACCCCAGCCCTATTTGATTTTTATGTAAACTGTGACCTGAAAAGGGCCGAACAGCTTGGTCCTGATGCTCTGTGGCCCAGACCAGAGCTGGGCCACAGCTGATCGGACTGGGGCAGAGCCTCGTGGTTAGTGTGAGGGGGCAGCTGTGGCCTGGGAGGCCGGGAACACACATGTGTTAGCTGGGCCATGGCCATGGCCGGTTACAGGGTGGATAAACTCACGTACACAAAGAATCCCAGCAGCCCCTCCTCTTTGAAAATCTTCCCAATGGAGCTCAGCACACCACTGTGAAGAAGGCAAAATAGGAATACAAGGTCACCTGGTCACTTAGCAGCAGCCAACCCCACCAGTCCCCCCCGAATCCAGCAAGTCCTAACCTAGATGGGGAGGAAGAACCCAAGAAGAGAATCGCCGAGAACTCTGGTCTGGGGAGGTTTACACAGTCGTGAGGATGGAGGAAACCAACACACCCCAGGGGCACGGGACCTGCAGTCCTCTCCTGCCGCGTTCCCTGGGATCTGATTCAGGAATGAAACCCTCACCGGGGACACTGCAGCAACAGCAGCAGGCCCTCTCCCACCTGGCCCTGGTACTTATCTCTGGTCAAATACCCTCCTGGCAGAAGAGCCTGCAGGTCACCTGACAGGGACCGCAGGGAAGGGGTGGTGAGCAGAGGGGGTCACCTCGGGGTAAGAGGAACCCAGAGCCTTGAAATGGGACCCCTGGACCAGCCTAGGAAAAGCCATCTGGCCCTCCATGGAAGACGCCTGGGCACTAGTGTCTACTGGAGACCAGAGGACAGGCTGTGGCATCTTGCATGTGAAATGCAAAGAAGGTTCAAAAACCTCCTCTGCGACCTGTAGCTAGAATGTCAGCTGGCCTCTCCTGAATGGCGGCTATGCAGGAAAAGTACAGGAAAAAGGAGCAGGTGGCAGAAGACGGCGGGAGCCGAAGCCCCGGCCAGCACACGTCCCACCAGGCCCCACCAGCCTTCTCAAACGGGCTGGCCACTGGAATTCTGAGACAAGTTGTCCTCTCTGGTGTCATTTCCCACCCTGACCTTTCAGTCTGGGAACAGGCCAGTTCTCACTAGTGAACCCAAGATGAGGGGACACAGCAAGCAGGCTTCATGGGGTAATGGCCCATGGGATAGCTGCAGAGAACAAGTGACCCAGGGAAATGAGATTCAGAGGGAGGTAACCCAGATGTGTCTATGGGCCACATGCTTCCAGGACCTGTACCCTGTGAGGCACCTCCAAGGAGCAGAGAGGGCACCAGCCCTGCAGGGAAGACGGTGTGGGTACAGGTGCCACCCTCGCCCACATCCAGGGAAGCTTCTGACACACAATTAGTGGATGAGTCCCAAGCCCACGGGACAGCTTCTCAGGACTGTGAAAAGAGCTGCTAGCCAGGCTCTAAAACAACCGGAGAAACCTTTAGGGCATCAACTGAAGAGTCCAGAAGGTAACCCTGGGTCAGTCCTAAGTGACAGAATCAGTGCTGGTCCTGAACACCTGTCCAAGCAGAATCCACTGCCCAGCACCGAGGCTTGTATAGCGCAACCCCCGGGGAAGAGATGGAAAAGAAAAGGCCCGTGACACAGACCACGGATGCTGCTGCCACAACCTTCTAAAGTGACGCAGTGGGCTGAGCTAGGGCACAGTAATGGATCAGAAACGGTGCAGCACTGACCCCAGCATGGCTTGTGCTGGGTGACTCTGAAGGGTCACAGGGCCACTGCAGCCAAGAGAAATTACCCACCTGTATTTGGCTTCCCGTCCCACAAATTGGACCATGCAGCGCATTGAGATGACTGAGGAAAGAGCAAAGGCACACAGGTGACTTGGTGGGCCAAAGCCCATGACACCCTAGCCACATGGTATCCAGTGGTCACTGAACAATGTGGCCTAAGTCAGAGTGCAGGAGACGAGGGCCTGAGGCTCTGGGACCACAGCATCCCATTTCTTCTTCCTAGAAAGAGTTCTGTGCCATTGCAAAGGACTCTTGGCCAATCTCTCCTTGGTGGGTTCCAATGGGAACTCCTACCCCCACCACTTCCCAGCCATGCCACCACTGCCTGCCTACAGCACACAAGGCACCATGCCACCCCCCATTTGGGGACAGATGCAGTCCCTCAGGGCGGCTCACCATGCAGGGGGTGGGCCAGCATGCGGGACACGCACTGCATCATCATCTCGTAGGACGTCTGGAAGAGAGCGGTGAGGGGACTCCATCAGGCCTGTCTCTGGGACTGGCACTCGTGGGGAAGCTGTCCTTCTGGGGGAAGACTGGGGGACCCACGGACCTCACATGGGGCAGTCCACTTCCCAGGAGAGCTGCCTGGTCCCCAGTGAGGCCCAACGGCAGCTGGGAGGGCTTTCCAAAATTCCCCAGGTCCCAGCAAGGGCTCCTGCATGCCATGCACCAAGCACACACATGGCCAGCAGTTCCTCTTCAAAAACCCACCCACCCCAGGATGAGGCACAGCAGACTCCCCTCCCCGCACACCCCCCTCCCCCCACACACCCACCTCCTTCACTACTTTCTTCAGGGAGGTCTTCATGTCATCCTTGTTGGAAACCTGCTCTATCTCATCGGGAGGGAAAACCTGACACATAAAAGAGGGACAAAAGCAAGGTACAGTCATGCCTCTTCGGCATCTTAAGGGATGCAGATGGCAGAAACCAGCCCCTGATATTTCCTCTACAGGGATTGCTAGCTGGGCCACCTCAGGTAACCCCCATGCCCAGGGGACAGGATGAAAGACAGCCACTGTCACAGCTGTAGGAAAATAGGATTGTGGGGCGGGAAGCCTCCAAATCACATGACCAAGGGTCTGACCACCAGGGTCTGGAGCCCAGCCATGGCTCTTGGGTCCAGAAGGGGGGAGCAGGACCAGGCACACGGGCTGCCTCTGATGGTGGCTGGGGGCAACTCCAGGCAACTGCTCCTGGCTTTGCCCCGGATTCACCTTCTTCATGCTGCCCCGAGTCACAGTGGAGAGGGCGTTGGACATCAAGCGGGGGCTCAGGCCCCGGAAGAGCCCGATCTTCCCGTCCACTTGCACAATGTACTTGGCTATAAGAAAGCAGAGGGAGTAGTGTCACACCCAGCTCAGGAGCGCCCACTCCTGGGCCACACATTCCCAGACTAGCTATGGCTTGTCCCTCAAGTCCCTGCCTACTCCAGCATGGAGGGAGCCTCCATCCAGGGTCTGCAAGCAGTCGGGCTCCATTCCCAAATGTCATCTGGCCTGTTTCTTTTTGCAAAACCTTCGCAATGTACTTTAGACAAACAAGCTCACACACTTTGCGTTTTCTTTTTGGTTTGAGAACTACTTGGCAAACTCAGCTGTGGTTTCTCAGTGTAGTGACCTAAGAGCTGCAACCCAAAACCAATTTCTGTTGCTTATAAAATGTTTTTCTTGGGGAAAAGAAAAAGAAAAAAAAAGAAAAGAAAGAAAGAAAAATGATGATGTTCGTAACCTAAGGAGGGAAAAAGTGGAAGAGGAAGGGCACTAAGAAGAAGGCCTAAACACGACATGCCCTGGCTGGGAGGGCCCACCTGCTCCCGTGCTGCACCCTGGACACCACCTGGCACTCGCCAGTAGAGGAGTGATTGAAGCAGAACACCCATAGACGATGCTAGGAAGCCCTTGGGTGGTCAGTGAGCTGTGCCTGTGGGGGCCGTGTTTTGATAGGCCTCTCCTTTTACAGAGACTCGCCTCATTGTTTTATTTTACATCAACTTTTTAAACACGTTCAAAAAAGCCATGTATTTTTATAAACCCTCGACCCTGGAAGCTCCCCTTTCAGACCCACGCATTAGCTCTCTAGCACCGCACAGAGGCAGTGACGAGCAAGTGCACCTTCTCCTCAGCAAGGTCTGCCAGCATGGCGACTGGATGTCACAGTGGGAAAGGGCTTCCACTGGCTTTCCAGAGCACCTGTCACGCGCACAAATGGATTTCTGAGATGGGAGTGAGCTGGAAAGAGGAGCGGGAGGAGGGGAGGGATGGGTCATGGGGCCACTGTCCTACAGCACAGAGTGAGAGGCACAGAGGGGAGAGCCCCACCAGCCTCATTTTACCTGATTTGCCCACGGGTGAGAGGGCAAGGAGCTGTACCTCCCCACTCCACAGATGAATCACGGAGAGAGGGAAAGGTGAGCAAACTGTGTGGGAGGCCTTCATGGACTGGCCAGGGCCCTTACTCCAGAGCCAGGAAACCTTCTAAGAAATTTTTCCTTTTACACAGAGAATGTCAGGACAGCTGTGCTGGTCACCAGGATATGGCAGAGCAGTAAAAACTGGCCACACCTGGACATACCTGATCTCCCAACTGAGAACAAACATGGTGTCCAGAAGTACCCAACAGACATCTGCTCACATCTGGATTAAAGGGACATTTACATAAACAGGTGGGGTGCCTCAGAACTCTCACATCTTTGCAAAGAGCCACTAAGATGGAGGCCAAGACTGCTCTACCTGGAGTTGAGTCCTTTGCAATGTCTATGTGATCTGAATGGAGTCATGATGTGGGATGTGGTGTCATAACAGCCAGTGGAGCCAGACATGAAAGCTGATGAAGTGCGATCCCGGCACACTGGCTCCACAGACAGGTGGGACCGCCTTCCTCCTCCGGTGACCTACCCTCCCCCTGACATTTTTAAAATAAAAATAAACACAAATACATTTTCCCATAAAATGACACATTCTGCCTGGCTCTAGCTTTACAAGGGACAAGCAGGGGTAAAAATGGAAAAGAAAAATGACATCTGATTCTGACAGTGTGTGAAATAAAACAAACAAAAAAGTGACCCAGAGGCCAAGCCCCAGGTTACTCAGCAGCAGGAAGATTTTCAGAAAACATTATGGACCAAACAGGCAGGAAGAGCAGAGGTGGGAAACATCTGGATTAGTCTCGAGTGGAATTCTGGCCATGAACAAGGAGAGAAGGGCATGAACAAGCAAGTGCCATCACAGTCACCCGGCAATGGGGGGGACTGGGAAAGGAACAGCTATGATGGACTTAAAAAGGCCCTGGACGGCTGACACCTTGGGCCAGCAGGAGCAGTAGTGACAGCAGGTGGACGTCTCGGTGGACAGACCTCCAGCAGGGCAGCTAGGAAGGGACTTGAGGGCTGAGGCACAAAGTGGTGTAGCCAAGCTCAGGGACACCCGGGGCAGAGCTGTGACTCTTCACAGTTCTGTAACCAGTGGCGAGAGACGCCAGAGTGAGCGGGCACTTGTCTCAGGAATGCTAGGGAGCAGAACAGCCAGTTGTCATGAAATAAAGGAGCTTAGGAGGCCACTGTCAGGCCTCCTGCTGGGACAGAAAAGTAGAAAAGCTGCTCAGAAAGAAAACTCATGCCTGCCCTGCTCCCGGCAGAATTGGCTGGCAAAGGTTGACAGGGATTAGCGTCCCGGCCTGGCCCTTGGCTCAGGCATCTGTCTGTCCTGCTGACTGGGCTGGTGGCTGGCAGATGTGAGCAGAGGAGGTGGACCAAGGCCGTAGTGCTCACCTGCTCCTGCCTGACACCCTGCCGTGTCTAGCAAATCTCAGGTTCTCTTTTTAGCGCCAGCACCAACTGTGGTGCCCTAGGCCCTACTGATGGTCTCTCTTCTGTTGGCATGGGCTTCCTGGCCTGAGCACCATACTCACCATAGGTGAAGAAGCTCGGCAGGTAAAGGACCTTCCTCCCCAGCACATTGGTCCCAAGCGTGGGGGGCATCGGCTCATGCCCCACCTTCAAAATTAAGAGAGAAAAGCAAAGTTCTTTGGTGATTCAGGCTCACTGCACGCCCTCTTTCCCATGACTAATTCCTCTAACGCTGCTCCTGTCTCCCACTCACACACCCCAGAGAGCTCACCTGCGTTGACCGCCATCGGCATCACATACTCTCCCAGCTCTGAGCAGCATCCAGTCCTGGCTACTACCCTGACCACCCTGACCACAATGCCCGCCCCATCCGGGCCCCAGCATCCTGATCCTCAAAGCCCAGGATTCCCAGTGCAGAAACACCCCTTTTAAAGTACTTCAAAGTCCATTCCCATCTCAGGAGAAATCTCAGTTAATTTTAATTTCCAGGTAAAAATTTCATTTTCCAATTGCACTCCCAACTGTGCCAGCGCTAACACACCACACCTGAGTCTCAGACCCACACTTCAGACAGCTCAGCTCTGTCACCCGGTCCTAAGTTCCCCCCATTCTCTCATCTCTTGCCTAGCCTACTGCAGACACCTCCATGGGCTGCCCTTCCATTTCCAGCTTTAGTAAACTTCCCCCCAAGCCTACTCTTCCTCAAACCCATCCTCAACTGTCCTGTAACCTCTATTGTCCCATATCCCTGGGACAAACTGACTGCCCTGGGCTCCACAGGCTACTGTCATTCCTGCTGCACAGAACCCAATTATAACCAAAGTTATTATGCCGTCCACACCTGAGACTCTGCTGGGGTGGGGGTGGGGGCATTTATTATCTGCCCATTCACAGGCAGAGACTCTGTAATCCAGGAGGAAGGCAAGGTACAAAGGAGACTCATGCCCAGGTAGGGAGTGAGAAGGCCTGCCTTCCCTTGGCAGGGCCAGGACACCAGCCCAGAGGACCAGAGTGACAGAAGCAGCGCCTTGCAGATTGCACAGGGAGGGACTGGAGCCAGCAGGTCAGGAGGCCCTGCCTCAAAAGCTGTGGCAGGTGTGCTCCAGGCCCAGGTTAGCCAGTGTCTTTGAAAGTTCAGGTTGTCCCTTCTGAATGTGATTCTGAGACACACATGACAGATCACTGATTATAAATTTTAAGCCCCCCCACCCCCATTATGGGCACTGTCTTAAATACAAAACAAAACCCACATTCCAGCCCCGGGGACAGACGAGGCTAGAGGCAGCCCTGCCCTGCTAGACATTTTCCCTTCTGAGTGAACCCGAGGGTTTGGAATTAAGTTTAGGTTTTGTCTTTAAAGGCAGGTGATGCTCCTTATACACTCAGCTACTGCTCTGTGCTGTCTTAGTCTAGCCACTATCATTTGGGAGTCCCTCTGATTCCGACTTTACACTTAAGTTTGTGTCCCTCCACCCCACATCCCCATGGCTTTCAAATCTGTTGGGTCTATATCTTAAACTACTCATGATACCAAAGGCACACTGTCTCTCCTGCTCATTCCTCTCACCTGCGGGTTTTAATTATCTGTTCCCAAGTCACTGCATGCCTAAATCTGTTAATCCAGTCCTAACCACAGCCTACACTGTGGTCCTGTATCAGATACTGGCAGAGCCAGTCAGCCATCTTTAAACCCCCAAAGCCCCAATCTTGACACCAAGCATTCATTTAATCTATTTCCTGCTCTCCCAAATAGTAATCTGATCTACTTTTTTGCAAGATTTTCTTCTTTTTGGTACCTGAACCCAGGAGCACTTAGCCACATCCCCATCCGTCTCTGAGACAGGGTCTCACTAGGTTGCTTACAGCCTCACTAAATTGCTGGGGCTGGCTTCAAATCTGCAACTCTCCTGCCTCAGGCTTCCAAACAGCTGAGATTCAGGTGTGTGCCACCAAGCACAGGCTTTTTGCAAGATTCTACTCTGATTCCCAATCTATACCCACTGAGATCAGACCCTCAAGTATGTTACACTTAGCACCAACTGCCACCCTAACTGGGTCCACCCATCTTACACACCCACCATCTACTTCTTCTCACCCTTCGGGCTCCCCCATTCCCCAATTCTTTTTCAAACCACCCTTATTTCAATTTTCTTTTCAAACCTGTACACCAAATCACTAACTCCACCACTGCCCAAATGAAGCCACTTCCATTTCTCTCACATGAGACACCCATTCTGTACATCCCAGCAACTTGCACCCCAAAGACTCTACCACCTGCCTCTCTAAAATTCCAGCCCTCGTTCAATCTCACTCCACTGGCTCTGGCTCCCAGCACCCTCGATTATCAACTCAGTGCTGGCAAAGCACCAGTTTCTCTCCCAAGCCTGCAATCTCTATTGCTGTAAATACTAATCTTATAAGTAAAGAAGCCCTCACTCCCAAATCACAACCAAATGCCCACCAGTCTCAGTGTCCACTGCCCCTCAGCCATTTCTTTGGTACTGAGGATTGAACCCAGGAACACTTAACCACTGAGCCACATCCCCAATCCTTTTTATTTTTTATTTTGAGAAAGGGTCTTGCTAAGTTGCTTAGGACCTCGCTAAATTGTTGAGGCTGGCTTTGAATTTGTGGTTCTCCTGCCTCAGCCTGCAGAGCTGCTGGGATTTCTGGCATGAGCCATTATGTCCAGCCCCCTCAGCCATTTCTAAACCTCAGTCACAATCAGTTACTCCTGATTAGATGTCCTCATTCCTTGTCATATTTCTGGGCACACTCAAATATATTACCCCCATTCCCTGGATTTCAATTATGCCCCCCACCCCCTGACACTGGGGATTGAACCCAGGATGCTCTACCACTGAGCTACATCCACTGACCTTATTTTTTATTTTAAGACAAGGTCTTGTTAAGTTGCTAAGTAACCCTCCTGCCTCAGTGCTCTAAGTCATGGGGATTTCAATTACTCTCATTCATAGACCTTCTCTTTTCAATGGCATTTGACATTCTTCAGTTCAATCTCAGGGACTGGTAAAATCTGACACCCATTTGCATTAAATCAAACCTCAAATCTCTGTTGGGTCTCCATCTCAATTTTTACCTCCAACGCTCGCCTTTCTGAACTGGAAAATTCTAGCCTACATCTTCAGATACCACTTTAGGCTTGGACCACGCCCATCAAAACTGTGCCTGTCTCAGTCACACACACCTCCTTCAAACTGGACCTCTCCCTTTCTCAAGCAACCCTTTCATCAGTACTGCATTGCTGGCGGCCACCAAATATGTCCAGTGTCTAAGCATCCCTGGAGTCCAGAGACTTTGCTACCTGGGTATCAACTTTGGCCAACCCCTACCTATCTTGCCTTGTCTCCACTGCGCCTTTTGCCAAATTCCAGTACTCCCAGACCCCTTTGGCCTGTCTCCGCAGTTACAGCCTGCGATTCCATTTTCTCCTACAAATGCGTCATCCCCTTCCCTCTAAAAGACTCCTCCTTGCTGCCCTCTCCAAACACATCACCGCGGCTCCCCCAGTGCACAGCCCTATCTGTTCCCTCCCCCCCCCAACGCGTCACCCGGTCTCCTCCTCCCACCAAATCTGTCGTCGCCATCAAATCCAGAGCCCCTATCTCCTGTAAACCGATAGCTCTCCCCTGCTGAATTCTTTGCCTTCGAACTTAATCCAATACCTACGTCTCCCCTTCCCCCAAGTCCCATGCCCTTCTTTCCCTCCTAAATTTGTGGTCCGGCGCCCACTCCTTTGTTCCCCAAAGCCTCCTTTAAATCCATCTTTGTAAATTCAGTCCTCGTTGTCTTCCACCCCAAATGCGCTCCTTGGCCCCCAACCCTTCCCCCTACCCACTCACCCAAACTTCTTGCCCCTCCCCCAATTCTGTTGCTTCTTCCTTCACCCCGAATCCGATGTCCTTCTCTATTCCAAACCCATCACTTCAATTCTTTAACCTTCTAAACCCGTCCCTCCATCCCGTCGCCTCCTCCTCTATACCTGCTCCCCTGCACCCTGGTCCCCAGTTCCTTGCTCGCCCAAATGTATCGTTCAGACTCCTTCACCCCTTTTCTTGCACCCCCAAACCCGACTCCTGCCGACCCAAGCCCCTCACCGCTTGCCTCCTCTCCCACCCCTTCCTTCCGGAAAACCCACGGTCCACACTCCTCCCCAAATCCGTCGCCATTGACCCTCCCGCTCCACTCCTCCTCCCGGTCTCGGCCTGTCACCTTCACAACAGCTTCCCATCTCCTTGCGGCGCCTTTGCCCCCTCACCTGGATTAGCAGCTTCACATACAGCAGCGGGTGGCTAAGCGCCGTCACACCCGCGCCCAGCGCCACGAAAAGAGCCTCGGTGGTCGGGGCGTTGTCCCCCGAGCCCAGACCCCCGGACGCGCCGTCCATTCTGCGGGCGGAGGGCTGCGCTGCAGGCCGAGGATGGCGCGGGTGTGCGCGGTGCGCGGGCGGCGGATCCCGAGCCCGGGCCTCGACCCCCGCAGCCGCTCCGCCGCGAGCTCCAGCTCCAGCTCCTGCTCCCGCCATCCCCGCGGCACCGCCGCGAGCCTTGGGCGCCACTTCCGGGTCCGAAGCCCCCATGGCGCCGGGCGGCTAGGTCACTCCCCGTCACGTGGCGTTGAGAACCACGCCCCTCGCGGGCGTCGGAGGCGGGGCCGGGCCGCACCACTCGCAGCCGCGGGGGAGCGCGGGAGTGAGGCGCCATGGTGGGGCCTGCCGGACGTGGCCCCTGGTGGTTGGGATTGGGGCCTCGCCGAAAGCTGGACCGAGGACTTGAAGTCAGTGGTCACAGGCAACCGGGGCTGCAGGTTTGGGAGCCGCGGAGGCCGCGGCAGGCCCGGGCGCTGCCCCGGGAGCCCCAGAAGACGGCGTGGGCGGGGCTCAGCCACTCTGGCATCCAGACGCCCCCAATATGGCCTGAGGCACTTTCAAGCCCCCTCCCCGGCTTCGGGAGTTTTCTCTGCAGTTCTGGGCCCGCCCCTTTGCGGCCCACATCCTGGTCGCTGCGGCCTTCGCAGGGTTGGGGTGGCGGCTATGCGAGACCCAGGCCTCCTGTCGCAGGCAGAGCCCCCCGGTGGGCTACAGCCGCCCTTCTTACCCCTCCCATGTCCCATCTGCCAGGAGTGACCTCCCGCCAGGTCACAGCCAGAAGGCCCCCCCACGCACACACACACACACCGGGGTCCACGCTCCCGCTGTGAACCTTTGCACACCCCACCCTTAGAGCCCCAGTTACAAAACGTGGTTTGGTCTAAGGTAGTTGAGAAGATCAACTAGTCCGTCCACGTAAGCACGCACAGGCACTGTGCTGCGGGCCCTTAGTGTGCGTCAGGCACTTCTAAGTGCGTTACACCTGTTAAATAGGATCCAACAATCCTGCCAGGAAGATATTTATTTCAGCAAGTGCCCAGTTCCCGTTTGTAACCTTGCCCCACCCCCAACACCCAGAACACCAGCACCCTGCTAGTTATGAGGGTGCTCAATAAAAGTCGCTGTTAAATGGATCTTAAAGTCGGCAGGGACAGACAGGGACGGCAGTCCCTTAGCCTGCATTTATGTTGTTGTTCGTACTTCGTGAGAGTTCTTCAGAATAGTCAGACACCTGCCTTCTGATCGCTTTTGACTCTCCTCCAAGCTGACCTTTTAAAAGCCACTCCCAGTCACCACTGAGGAGGACAAACACTGTATACTTTCCTGGTTGGAAACCTGCGGGTCTCTGTCCCTTCACAGAGGGCTCCATCTCCCCCCCCCCATCTGACCTCCTCATCTCAGACTTGCCCCGATGGAATCACTACAAAACCTTCCAGCCCTTCCGATTTACCAGGTTTTCTCTTTCAAACCCAACTTTCATTAACCGCCCCCACCCTCTCCCAAGAGTGCTTTAAATGATTTCCTCTTGCCTGAATTCCGATTTAGCTTTTTCAGTGTGGAAAATCAAGTTCATAGGATAATAGTGAAGCTAGATTTACAGATAGGTAGTTAGGTAAATCGGGTCTAATATCCAGTAAGATAAATAAAATGGAGGCCAGACCATTATAGAGAAAGGAGTCCCGGAAACCAGAGCAGCACTTGGGGAAATTGAAATGTTATTGTCCCCATGGCCCGAGCCCATTCTAAGGAAAATGTTAATGAAGCAGCAAAGGAGGAGGTGCTAATCAAAAGCTGCCCCAGGCCCTTCCTGCCCACCTTATCTCCCACCTTTTAGGCCTTCCATTCTATCACTAAAAGATAAGGGGAAATAAAAGATCTGAGTGTGGGAAAGCTGAAAAAAGAACTTAGCTATAAAAAAGGGAAGACCTCCCACTTCCACCGATTCTGCCTTTTGGGTCCCCTTCTTCCTCTGGGGAGAAGTCTTTTCTGCTGTCCTTTAATAAAGCTTCTACTTTCCACTCTCCACTTGCCTCGGCTGCTTCTCTAATGTTCAAACTTCAACATGTGGGGAAGCAGGACTCCTCACTCATAACCAGCGGTATCCACAGGTTTCCAGCTTTCTAGGCAGGTGTCAGAACAATGTCATCAGGGCACTTGGTGATGACACATTTCTAAGAGAAAATGGAATCACCGTGCCTGTACCTTCGGGATGGGCTGATGCGTATCCGGTGAGGGCTGTGATTGGCCTCACCTTCCTCCTGACATCTCCTCACGCAGACCCTTTCCTTGGCTGGGTGTTCCTCTCCATTTTTCCTCCATCTGTCTATGTTTCCTTCTGAACTTGTCTGTCCCCATCAGACCTTGTGTAGATTTGGCCATTTCCCACAGTGATTCCGTGGAAGGGAGCTATGTTGTATTTTATTTATACATTATTTTGTATCTTCCATAGCAACAAATAGGGATACACACATAGTAAATGCTCAATAAATGGTTTCCAAGTAATTCAACAATTTCCAAAAGTGGTGGGGGAGGGTAAAAATAGGTCAGTTAAACCTGCTAGACCGCTAGGAATACCAAGCAGAAGCAAATGTAACACTGGGCTATAGCTGTATCTCTACAACTCAGGGCTCACAGGGACACCAGGAGGAAAAAGTAAAAAAACTTGATATTTTAAAATTGCAAGCCAGGCACAGTGGCACACGTAATCCCACTGACCTGTCAGGCTGAGTCAAAAGGATCACAAGGTCTGGACCAGCCTCTGCAACTCAGTGAGACCATGTCTCAAAAAAAATAAAAATAAAAATAAAAACAACTAGGGATGTGGTTCAGTTGGTAACGTATCCCTGGGTTTAATCTGTAGTACCAAAAACAGAACAAAACCTTCAAGCCATTGGAAGACATATCCCATCAGCAGAGTGGACAAAACAGAAGGACCTAAGATAATACAGCAATTTGAAAGAAACTTTAAAGCGGGAGGGGGGGGAGTTTTCAAAGGAAAAGAAAGTACTAGAAAAAAGAACAGGTATAGTTGAAAAGAAAACAGAACCTCTAGAAGTGAAAAGTGTGCTCACTGACATGATTGAATGAGGAAAAGTCTTGCTGGGCATTCATGCTCCTGAGCCACCCAACAATGTGTCTCCAGAGCTAGAAAGCAGTTGGCTCTAGGCTGGGTTAGTGCCCACTGACCCTGCTACCCGCTGCTCTGGTCACCCCACAGCACTTACCACACTGTAGTGGGAAGCATCACCCTGAGCCCTTGCCATTCTCCCCTGGTAGTCTATCAGCTCGTTGGCACTAGGGACCATCCATTCATGGCTGAACCCCAAACTTGGCACATAGTAGGAACCCAACAAATGCTTACTAGGAAATAAATGGATAAGCCAAAATGTGTTGTGGTTTTTTGTTTGTTTGTTTGTTTGTTTTATCTTGTTTCTTGGTACCAGGGGTTGAACACAGGGGTGTTTAACCACTGAGCCACTTTCCTATCCCTTTTTATTTTTTTTATTTTGAGACAGAGTCTTGATCAATTGCTTAGGACCTCACTAAATTGCTGAGGCTGGCTTTGAATTTAGGACTCTCCTGCCTCAGCCGTCCTAATTGCCAAGATTACAGGTGTGCGCCACCACACCTAGCTAAAGTATGTTTTAGAATTATACAGGAATTAAAACTTTAGGAAGACCCATATGCCCCCAAGCAGTAGGATAAGCTAATAGAAAATTAGCAGGAAATCAGCTGAGCACTGTGGCATATGCCTGTAATCCCAGTGGCTCAGGAGGCTGAGGCAGGAGGATTGTAAGTTCAAAGCCAGCCTCAGCAACTTAGTGAGGCCCTGAGCAACTCAGAGAGACCCTGTCTCTAAAATAAAATATTACAAGGGCTGGGGATGTGGCTCAGTGGTCAAACGCCCCAAGGTTCAATTCCTTGTACAAAAAAAAAAAAAAAAAGAAGAAGAAGAAGAAAAAGAAATTAACAAGAAACCAAACACTTGTAGACCTTGAGAATTGCAAGAATATAGACCATCCCAGCTCCTTGGGATCCAGTGGGGAACTATGTTGCAATGAAAAGAGAACAGAAAATCCTAAGAAGCCACCATTGCAGTTAAGTTGACATCACATTAACTGGGTCTGGAGGGAATCTAGGGGGGATGTCAAGGTCTATGTGAGAGTTTAGGCCTCACTGGGGAAGGCCTGCCAGGAGGACCCCCTCAGTGTAAGAAGGTGACCACGCTTGGCCACAGGCCTCCTGTCCACTTGTCCTGGGGGAGAACTTCCTGGCTGCTGCCTCTGCTCGCCTACCTTGCTGGAGTGGGGGCCGGGGGTGGAGAAGGCTGCATCAACCTTTGGGACTGACCTTTATTTCAAAGCTTCAGGGATTCTTGACAGTGCTGGAAATCAGATGTGAAACAGCATGTGGCTCTGGGGAAAAAAGCCATTTCCTATGATCTTGACTGTGACGGATGATGGGAAGGAAGGGACTCTGCCCTCGAGAGACAGTTTGAAGCACTGACCCCACTGTGAGACATGTGACAGATGGGTAGCTGGATAGCTGAGGCCAGCAAGCCATTTGTAACAGCAGGATTTTGAAGCAGAAATGTGTATTATTTCATTTTAAATCCCTGCACCTGAGTTTATCTTGGGGAGAATAAGGAAGAAAGATGTGGTGTCAGGGAGCCCGCCTCCCCTCTTGGCAACAGCAGGTCCTAAAAGACAAAGACCATTCCCCCTGAGAAGGGCCCAGACTGTCTACCCATGATGCCCACATTTCCACAACACACTTCCTGCAACCAATTTTAGTACCTGTGTGGTTCTAGTTAGCATTTGAGTTTGGAAATCCTGGTTTCGATTCTACCAACCCCGAGAACTAGTTTGGGGTGTGCAGGTGTGTGTGTGTGTGTGTAAACAGTTAACTTCTGGGTGAACTGAAGTCTAACCATGCGCACCCACAACTTCGCTGGTTGGAGGTACCAGAATTGGCATCTTGGGGTACCCCTGCTCACTTTGGGTGCTCCATGGGAATTGGGACATCAAAGCTCACCACCAGGCCAGGACATTACCTGGACTCCCAGTCCCCAACCCTAGTTGAACATTAGAATCACAGAAGAATTTAAAAAGCGGGGAAATGGGGTGGTCGCTCAGTGGTAGAGGGCTTGCCTGTCCTGTTTATGGCCCCAGGTTTGACCCCCAGTACTGCAAAAAAATAATAATAATAACCTCAACCCTCAGCTCAAAGGGTAGACTGGGACTGGGTTAAAATGTTGCTTAGACCCTCTCTAGGTGATTCCTGTGTTCCAGGCTGGGGGCGATGGGATGCTCAGCATACACCTGTGCTCAGGTGGATGGGTGGGTATCTCCCGGCTGAGGGGGTCACAGAAACACAGAAAATAGCCCTTTCAAAGAGAAGCCAAGGAAAGCACTATTTTCAGTTCTTCTCCCGGTGTGTTTTCCTGGGAGTCAGCAGAGTCACACACACAGCATCCAGTTTGCAGACTATTTTCCTCCCCAGGGCCAGAGCAGTAAGGGAAGCACCCCTTGCTGTACCGCAGCCCCTCTGGGTACCAGCTGGAAGTGGCATCTTTTTTTTGGTAGGGGGGCAGGAGGGATGCTGGGAATTGAACCCAGGGGCACTCAACCCCTGAGCCACATCTACGGCCCATTTTATTTTTTTATTTTGAGACAGGGTCTTGCTGTGTTGCTTAGGGCTCAATCGCTGAGGCTAGACTCTAACTTGCAATCCTCCTGCCCCAGCCTCCCAAGTCACAAGGATTATAGGCATGAGCCACCCTGCCCAGTGGAAGCTGCATCTTGTCCAGACTTGGGCCTGAAGTTCCAGCAGGGCCAGAGGCAGAGCAAGTCTTAGCTTCCAGTGAAGCGCAGCATCCTGAGCAAGCTCAGGAGGGACAGAAAGCAAATTCCCCTGGATTCCTTCAAGCACTACCTACTGAGCATCTCCTAGGGCCAAGCATGGCCGTGACGCTAGGAGTATACAGTAGGCAAAACACAAGAAACCACACCGTCATGAAGCTGGTATTCTAGTCTGGGGGATAGACAACGCGATAAATCAGCCTAAGTGATAAAAAGAGGACAGTGAAGCAGGAGAGGGCCTGGGAATGTGTGAGGATGTTGCAATTTGGGGGAATCTGTGAGGGTCAGGAAAGGCCTCGTGAAATGGTGACATTTAAGCAAAGATTTGCTAGATGGGGTGGGTCCAGTGGTGCACACCTATAATCCCAGTGGCTTATGGGGCCGAAGCATGAGAACTGCAAGTTTGAGGCCAGCCTGGGCGATTTAGCAAGATCCCGTCTCAACATAATAAAACCAAAAAAAGCAAGAAACTCAGAGGTGAAGTGTCCCTGGGTTGGACGCCCGGCACCAAAACAAAACAAACCACCACCGAGATTCAGCGGAGGGGTGAGGGGAGCCATGGGGCTGTTCGGAGGAAGAGAGTGCCCGATAATGGAGGTACAAGTCAAAGGCCCAGCGGGAGGAGCCCAGTGAGAAGGGACAGGGGCTGAAATGAGGCCAGGGAGTTGGACCTCGTAGGCCTTCGCTGTGACCTTAGCTGGGGCAGCAGCAAGGCACAAGCTAGATATATTTCAGAGGAGGGGACCCTCCCAAAGGGAAACTGAGGCTAGCTCGTGGGTCTCCAGCCGGCTTTCCCCCTGGTTTCCCTGTGGGGGTCTGAGAGTTGGGGTGGTCTCAGTCCCACTGGAGGGAGCACGGAGCATGGATGAGCCCTGAGAGGCCGGGCCCTGGGACCTGGGGGGACCCAGTGAAGGTGAAGGTGTGGGGAAAGGTCACCAGAGGCTGGGCCACAGGGTGTACAGGAGCAATCTGTTCCCTCTCTGCCTGGAAACCGGGCCACTCTTGTCTCTCCCTGAGCCGTCGGGCAGGACAAGCGGTCCAGGCCCAGAGAAAGGCCCACTGTTGTCTGGAGATAAAAGAAGCCCCCCCGGCCCACCCCCGGGCTGTGAGGCCCTGTGCTCGCTCTCTGGGCACCTTCTCAGGGCACTGCCTGGCACCACCCGGCTCTGGCCTCGCCTCTCCAGCTCCCCTCTGGTGCCTCCCGCCTCAGCGGCTCTGCAGGCCTCCCCTCCTCCCCTGGACACACAATGTCTCCTTGTGCCTTCCCCCCCCCCCCGGGCTCCCAGGGGCGTCTCCCCTGCCGGCCACACATCCACGGCCAGCCCAGGCCCGCGGCTCTTTCATCCCGCTGCCCAGGATGCCTCCCTGGTCACCCCTGCTATCTGCCTCTGGCGACCTTGAGTCCCTTCTGAACAGTGGGAGGGCCTGGCAGGAGCCTTGCCCAGTCCCCGAGTGCCAACTCTGAAACCAGATCGGTCACACCCTGAAGAAGAAAAGGCTGTTTATGTTCCTCCTTGACGTCCTCCAGCCGCCACCAACGTCAGGAGGGACACTTACTTGCCAGCTGGGCTTGCAGCCATCCCGGTGGCCTGGGGCAGACTTCCACCTGCAGCCCAGAGAGTGTGGACACAGGCAGGTCCCGCCTCCCGTGTTCCTCAGGGGCCTCAACAGTGACATTTAGAGACACCCCGGCTGCCACCAAGGGCAAGTGGCAGGAAAGGCGGGGTCAGGAAGGGAAGGTGGCCTGGCTCCTGTGCTGGCTGGAGGGGTCAGGCCCGCTGGCCAGCCGCTCAGCGCCCTCCTGCAGGAAGCCTCAGCAGATGGCGAACTTCTGGCCCAGGGACAGGGTAGAAAACTCTGGCTGCTTGTGGGAGGGGACAGGAAGGCTGGTCCCTGAGAGAAGCTGGTCTTTTCCTGTCCTCCTCTCTCCAGGCCAGGGACGGACTGCTTTGGAGCCCACCTCTCACACTGGCACCGCGGGTGGCCTCTGCCCACTGCATGGCGACCCAGAGGGTGGCCCACCAGGACCTCCCAAAGACAGGGGATGGAGGAGGGAGCAGGACACGGACGCTGGAGGGTGGCAGCAGCCACAGGAGCAGGTTCAGCTGGCTGCCTGCCTCTGCCCCAGAGCCCTGTCCCTCCACCACAGCCCTGTCACAGGCCATTAAGCTCTCAGCAGGTGCCCTGTGCTCGCTGGAGGCTGGGAGCCAGGTTGGAGGTGGACCTGGAGACATGCCATCTCGCCCCCCCCCCCCCGGCCTGGCACTGTCGGGGCTCAGAGCCCTCCTTGGAGGCTCAAGGCACTGGTGGCCAAGTGATGAGATAGTCCTTTGCCACTCAGGGTGTGGCACTTGTCCATTCCATCCCACACGCCTGCGGAGGCCCCTGGGTGAGGGACACGGCGCTGGGCTGGGCACCAGCCAGGAGGCCGCGTGCTCAGGCCCTCCCCTAGCTTGGAGCATCAGGGAGGGAGGCTGCCCCGGCCCAGGAGGACATCCAGGAAGAAGTGGCCTTCAGGGCTCTAGGCCTAACCGACACTGACAGGAATCAGGGGACAGACAGCACCTCAATGGCAAGATTCCCTCCTGAGACCAACGGGGCCAGTAACGCGTGTTCTCAAGAACTGTGACGCGTAGGAGGTGGACCGGACGGACCTGTGGACACCAAGTGAGTCCAGGCCGAGGTGGCTCGTTGGAAATGTCGCGTCTTATTTGGGTCCCCTGATTTATTTATTTTTTAAATGATGGCATTTATAAAGAACTGGCACTCAGAATGTTTTCTAGATATTCATTTAGGTTGAGGGTTATTGCTGAACCTCTGTTGGGGTACGATGACGTGGTATCTTTCATATGTACACACATGATCACAACATGTAAAACACATGTACATGTAAAACGATGTTGCTGTGATCAATAGGTATGCCTATACATTTGTGTGCATGTGTATTTTTATTTATTCACTGAATTATGAGCCCTTATCTTTTAGATACACACTGAAATATTTGTGGGGAAAGCATGTGATGTCAGGGATTTGCTTCAAAATGACAAGAGAAGGCACAGTCGAGGTGGCTGGGGAGGGCACTGAAGAGGTGAGGGTCGCTGGGTCTGGGTGACGGGTCGATGGGTGCGTTAGATGGTCTTATCTAGTTTTGCATCTGTTCTACATTTTTTTTGTACTAGGAGTCAAACCCAGGGGTGCTTAACCACGGAGCCACATCCTCAGCCCTTTTTTGTATTTTATTTAGAGACAGGGTCTCACTGAGTTGCTTAGACCTCACTAAGTTGCTGAGGCTGGCTTTGAACTTGCGATCCTCCTGCCTCAGCTTCCTGAGCTGCTGGGATTACTGGCGTGGGTCACCGAGCCCTGATTCTAGATTCTTTATATATATATATATATATATATATATATATATAAAGAATGCTACTAGCTACTGGGTTGTGTCTTCCTGCTACGAGCATGCTGGGTCGTGTCTGCCTGTGTGTGTGTGTGTGTGTGTGTGTGTGTATAAATTGTAGGTGGACACAGTACCTTTATTACATACATTTTTATGTAGTGCTGAAGATCAAACCCAGGGCCTCACACATGCTAGGCAAACATTCTACCGGCCCTAGACTCTTCATAATGAAAAATAAGACCTGAAACAGAACAGGCGGGGGTGGGGGGTGGGGGAGGGTCAGTGGGATGTGGGGGTGGGGGGGAGGGTCAGTAGGATGTAGGGCTGGGGGCGGGGCCAGCTCTGCAGTGGAGGAAGCAGCTCCTGCAAAGCCCTGAGGGAATACATACAGCTGGTGGCAAGTGAGGCCCCAGGGTTCACAGTTGCTGTAGCGTGAAGCTGTGCCAGGCGCTTAGGGTACTGAGATAACTAAGGCTCAGTCCCTATGCTCCAGGATGAAGACCCATCTCAGTGGAGGGCCCTGCCCTGGCTAAGGAACCAAGAGACCAGAACCCAGTGGGAGAGGCCAGGAATGGCCTGTGAAGCTGGATTGAGAAAAACAGAGGCAGTGGCCGTTTGTCTAGAAAAACTGGTAGACTAGGTGGCCCAGGAGGCATCAGGCAGACACAACCCAGCATGCAAGCAGCAGGAGGCCTGAGGATGGAGCTGCCAGGTGTTTATCCAGGCTCCCAACAAAAATCTTTGCTGGAACTGTAGAACACCCACCTTTGTTTTGAAAATCTTAAATTCTCTTGTGTTCTTCCTGGGTGACCTCAAGCAAGTCACTTAACCTCTCTGATCCTGTTTCCTCTTATAGAAAATGGGGATAGTAATTGGACTCATCTAAGATGATTATGAATTAAATAAGAAAATACTTATAAAGCATTAAAAAGTGCTTGTGTTAGCTATTATCATCTTCCAAGTTTCAGGGCGGAAGCTGCCCTCCCTGGGGGCCACAAGGGGAAGACAGTGACGGCTGATCTGTGAGCACCCAGTAAGGAGGTGGACGGCCACGAGCTCCTCCGGGCAGCCCTGGGCAGGTTTGTGATCAAGTTCTGAGGAAAAGCAGGTTCCTTACAGCAGTGAGGAGGGACAGATCCAGAGGAGAAGTTGCTGGAAGAGGGGCCAAAGGGGAGACCCCTGGGGCCCATCAGGGCCAGCGTGGCGGGCCAGAGCCACTCCACACAGAAGGAAGCCCGGGGTCCAGCTCCAGGATCCACCCCTGGCCCTGTTGCCCCCTGCGGATGGCTTCTGGACCTGGGGTCCCCAGGAGGGGGACATCAGCCCCATGGGGAGGGTGGGGCCTGCTGGCCCCTCCCACTCGGGGACAGGGCCTTTCCCTGCCGGCGGCCCTGGGACCAGTTCCTCTTTCTTCACTCTGAAGCCAGAAGCTGGCCTGCTGAGCCCGTGGGAAGATGGGAGCCCACTCCAGGATGTCCTAGTCCATCGCGTCCCCAAGCCAGGGTGGCTGAGTCTGCTGCTAGAAGTCCCTGTCCCTACTTCAGGACCACCCTGCAGGCCGGCGGGATGGAGCCGGCAAATGAGGAGAAGCTGGCCTCTGTGTCCAACCTGGTGACTGTGTTTGAGAACAGCAGGTACTGGGCTGCGGGGGAGGGTTGCGGTCAGGCAGGCAGCCCTCCGGTCCTGTGCCCAGCGGCACATGCTCCAGGCTCCGGGCCAGGGCCTCCTGAGCCCCCTCTGCGAATAGCGCTCTGGGGGGTCCTGCCCTGGGCATCCTCCTGTCTGGGCAGCACCCACACCCTGGGTCATGGGTCCCTTGGAGCATAGAGAGTGCAATTGGGGTCCAGGAACGCGGCACCATGACAGAGCCCCGTGTGTTGGAAGAGTTAAAACCAGTGTGAGCCAGGCTTGGTGCCACAGGCCTGAAATCCCAGCTGCTCAGGAGGCTGAGGCAGGAGGGTCTTGAGTTCAAAGCCAGCCTCAGCAATTTAGCAAAGCCCTGAGCAGCTCAGCGAGACCCTGTCTCTAAATAAAATACAAAAAAGGGCTGGGGATGTGGCTCAGTGGTTAAGAACTTCTGGGTTAATCCCTTGTACCTCCCCCACAAAAAAAAAACCCAAAACCAAAAACCAGTGTGGTTATGGGGGGAGTGGACAAGGGTAGTATCGGGGCTGCAGACCCCACCCGCTGCCCTTCCAGCACCTCCCAGAAGTAATAGCTAATCCTTCCTGAGCATCTCCTCCCTGAGGGTAGGGCAAACCTATAGCTGGTCACTGCCACAGGACACATCGAAACTGAAAGTGGACGTCATTGAAACGGAGAGAGAAGCGGGGACTGTGCCCGGCGAGGCAGGGTGGACGGACGGGCAGCCTGCCCAAGGGCACCGTCTGCGCCCCCTTCGTGCCATGATCATCCTCACGGCCAACCTGGGCTGCGCGGCCTCTGCTTCTGTGTCCACCTTACAGATGAGGAAACAGAGACCCCGGGACGCCCCTGCTGTCAGTCCATGTGCTCGCTGTGCTTTGGGGCATTGCTGAGGCTTCTGCTGAAGGGAACAGGCAGGACCAGATGTGGGAGGTCCCTGGTGGCCTGGCAAGGGGTGCGTGCGTGTGCGTGTGTGTGTGCGTGTGTGTGTGTGTGTGTGTGTGTGTGGGAGTGTGTGGCCCCCACCACTCAGCAGACATTCCCCAAGCCCAGGCCTGTGTTAGCATCAGCCGGGGGTCGGGTCCCCCGGAAGGAGACTGTGAGAAGGGGTTTGCTGCAGGAGGTCTATTGTGGAGAGCTCTGGGGACAACCAGAGGAGAGAGGAACAGGAGAGAGGGCTGGCCTGCGCCAGGGAGCTCTGGGGTGGTGGCCCTCCGTTGTCCCTGCTGAGGCAGAGGTCTGGTTGGGATTTTACCGCCCAGGGACTAGTCTGTTGGTCTCCCTCTCAGAGAGCGGTTCCCAGAGGGGGTCTTCCCGCAGCCGCCAGCCAGGGACTCTTCCCCAGCTGGGGGAGGTGAGCGGACCCCCACCCAGAAGGGAGTGGGGCTCAGCACCTGTGGGAACCCGAGAGGAGGAGGAGGAGGAGGGGGAGGCTACCCGTGTTCGGATGCTAAGCTCCTGTCGTGACCACGGTGCAAGGTGGTGGGCAGGAGACGTCCTAGGAGGGGCCAAGGTGCTGTACAGGAAGAGCCTCCCGTGGGCCTGATCCACCCAGAGGGCCCTGCAGCCACCTGAGCTGGGTGACGTTGCCCTGACTCCCCCAGGGTCCTGGCCCAGCTCGTCCCGCTCAGCACCGAGGACAGCTCTCAGGCACCGCCTTCCTGGCCCACCCAGCCCCGCGGGCCCCAGCCAGCATGCCACGTGTGGGGTGACCTCAGTGGAGCCCCCGGGCACCCTGCGGCTGCCCAGCAGCACCCTAGAAGGAGCGGGCAGCCCTGAGACCTGAATGGCGACCAAACAGGTGCCACCGGGAGGGTGACCAGCCTCTACGGAGTGAGGGGCGCCCCGCCAGCGCCTGGCCCGGGCTTCTCGGGGGGCTCCAAGGCTCGGCTGATGGGAAACCGGGGTGAGGAGGAAGCAGAAGTGGGCCTGGCGCGGGCAGAGAAATGCAGAAGCTGAAACCGAGTGTAGAACAGAAAGCCCGGGCGGCCCGGCCAGGCTGCAGGCGAGAAGCTGAGGAAGCAGCTAGTCCTGGGGCAGCAGCCTGGCCCCTGATCCTTCTGCCACCCGCCGGCTGGGTGGCCTGGGGCAGGTCACCGTGGCTCTCTGGACCTGTTTCTCCTTTACGCAGATGAGAAGCAGCTCAGGGCCAAGGCTCAGAACCAGCCCGTCTGATCCCAATCCCACTTTTGTCGCATCCAAGCGGCAAGTCCCTGTCTTTCCTGTGTCTCAGTTTCCATGGCTACAAAATGGGAATCATAAGAATCCTTTCCTGCAGAGTCGGAGCTTGCATACGTGTCTGACCCCTGACGCTCCAGCCTCTTTCTCATGACGATGCCTGCTCTGCGCTGTGGTCACAGCCTCTCCATGCCAGGGGAGATGGGGCACAGCCCATGTCACTGGACATATCCAGTGAGGGTGGTTATGTCCCTCATCTACAGAATGTAACTGACCAGCAGACCCAGAACGCAGGGTAGCTAAGCTGCCCTTGGAAGCCCTGTCCTGGGGGAGCAGGGGATCTGCTCTTAGCCCGGTTTTTCTTCAGCGGGTCATGTGGGGAGCCAAGGTCTCATCTGAGCTTTAGCAGGTCTGCCCTCACTTTAGATCACTCCATGGCTCCCACCCTCCCTCCATGTATCAGTTATTGATGCAGGGGTGAGGCGCAGGGTGATCTGAGAAGAGCCAACTAATAAGCTTTGTCTGTAGAAGGGGGAGGGTCTTCTGAATTCGACTGCATTTCAAACAGGGAAGTATGTAGTTCCCCAGAGAATAAAACAGGGCACACTGACTCATCTTGAAGACTGAAGTTCCCTCCAAGGTTCGGGAGAGACGTGGAAGTCTTACTTGGCAAGTTTCTCCGGAGTGCCGGGCGCTCGGGAGCCGCTGCCCACCAGACATGGACATCAGTCACCCCCCCCTGAACCCTCACGGGGACAGGCTGCGGTTCTCCCTGTTCTCTGACAAGGACACCCCTGGGTCTGCTCCTTTCTCAGGACCCTGGGAACAGCGCCCAGAGACCAGGCCCAGCCACCAGCCCCAGAGCCATGGGAGAAGCCGCATGTCGGGGAGACCCCCGAGTCTGGGCCCAGGACCGTGAGCAGGAGGTGTCTGAGCTCCCTGAAGAACAAGCTGTCCAGCGGGGCCTGGCGGAGACCTTGCCAGCCTGGGGCCTCTGCAGGGGCAGTGCCACAGGTAAGCACTGGGCCTCTCCCCTGACCGCCTCCGCAGACGCTGTCTCCCGCCAGAGCCCAGCGGGGGGCTTGTGTGATCAGAGATCAGCCAGAAGCTGGACGGTCCCCCCTCACCAGCCCGGGATGGCTACAGCCCCTGGACTCTCCCCACCTGCCCGTTATTCCATGCCTCCCTGACCCCCGTCAGAATGGCAATCACCAAGCCCACGAGGAGCAACCCGTGTTGGCGAGGATGTGGGGAAAGGCACACCCTTGACATTGCTGGTGGGGCTGCAAATGGGTTCAGCCGCTCGGGGAAGCAGTGTGGAGATTCCTCAGAAAACGTGGAGTAGAACCTCCATTTGACCCAGTCATCCCTCTCCTTGGTATATAGTCAAAGGACTTAAAATCATCATACTGCAGGGACACAGCCACCTCAATGTTTATAGCAGCTCAACTCACAGTAGCTAGACTATGGAACCAACCTTGGTGTGCCTTCAATAGGTGAATGGATAAAGAAAATGTGGTACCTATACACAATGGAATATTACTCAGCCATAAAGAAGAATTAAATTATGGCATTTGCTAGCAAATGGATGGAACTGGAGGCTATCATGCTAAGTGAAATAAACCAGTCCTCAAAACACAAAGTCCAAATGCTGTCTCTGATATGTGCATGTTGACTCGCAAGAGCCTGGGTGGCGGGGTGGTGGTGGTGGTTCAATTTTGGTCTTTTAGGCAAGGAAATTGAAGCTTAAGACACTTGTTCAAGGTCACAGGGCTTGGAACAGTCTTCACCTTGTGAACTTGGGATGCTTCACAGCTGTGGCCTCAGTTTACCCTCTGGAGGGGGCACCAGTCTCACACCAGAAATGGAGGTCTGAGTGCTGATTTCCTGTCCTTAAACTAACACTGGGTCTGGTCCCAAGTGGGTCAACTCTCTCCTACAGATTTGTTTCCTGGACTGTGGATCGGGGCCCGGGGGGACAATACATAGGACTGTACTCCAGAGCCAGCTCTGTGGGCTTGCACCCTGCTCTTCCTCTTTCTCACTGTGTGACTTTGGGCAGTCACTTTAACCTCTCTGTGCCTTATGATGGATGATCACAGTGGTGTGTTCTGGTGATCAAATGTTATGTAGCAGACACCCCAAACATAGTGGCCTAGTATGACCTTATTGGGGTGACCAGCATGCTGCAGGACAAGTCTTGTGTTGGTCTTGGTTGGGGTCTGCATCAGTCTGCCAGGCTGTCTTGCCAGAATCCCACCCACTGTGTGTGTGCTTTGGACAACAGAAAGATGTTTTCCCACAGTTCTGGGGACTCAAGTCCAAAATCAAGGTGTGTGTGGGGGGTGGTTTCTAGGGAGGCCTCTGTTCCTGGCTTGTAGATGGACACTTTCTTACTGTGTCCCCGAGAGGCCTTTTTCCTCTGTGCATACACATTCCAGTGGTCCCTTCTCTTCTTAAAATGACTCCAATCCTATTGGTTTAGGGTCCGTGCTCCTCATCTCACTTGACCCTAATTACCTCCTTCAGGGCCCCTATTGCCAAATTACAGTTACAGCTGTTGGAGGTGAGGCCTTCAGCAGGGAGCTGGGGTGTGGTGGGGACACAGGTCAGTCTTTTATCTTTAAATTAAAAAAAAAAAAATAATTATATATATATATATATATATATATACACATTTATTTTATTTATTTATATGTGGTGCTGAGGATCGAACCCAGCCCCTCACACGTGCTAGGCGAGTGCTGTACCACTGAGCCACAATCCCAGCCCTGAGACTTTTATTTTTATATTTTATTTTGAGATAGGACCTTGCTGAGTTGCTTAGGGCCTTGCTAAATTGCTGAGGCTGGCTTTGAACTTGCGATCCTCCTGCCTCGGCCTCCCGAGCGGCTGCGATCACAGGTGTGGGCCACCATCCCTGGCACCTTAGTCTCTAACAAGGTCTCTTTCACGTGGCCGCAGGCAGGTGGCGCTACAGGCTGGAATGCCCAGGGTGGCTCAACCTGTGAGCCGCTCCCTGGGCAGGGACAGCCGAGGCTGGGCTTCTAGGAGCTGCCTTTCTCCGTGTGGCCTCCAGTCTCCCCTCTTTGGGGCCTCCCCTGGAGGTCCCTCCATCAGGCAGCCGGCTCTCTTGAGATGGTGACTCCCAGCTCCCGAGGGAGCTGCTGGGTTCAGGGGGCCCTTCTGAAACCCAGCACGGGCTCAGCCTCCATCTGCAGGTTCTCTGATGGCCTGGTGCCAGGGCCAGCCCAGATGCCCTGGGGACGGCTGGAACAGTGGAGGGTGCTCCATGGTGACAAACCGAGGGCTCACCAGAGGCGCCCCAGCTCCCTTCTCCCCTCTCCTCTTCCCGTCCCTGCAGGAGCCCGAGGAGAAGAAGGTGGTCCGGGAGCTGCTGGAGACGGAGCAGGCCTACGTGGCTCGCCTGCACCTTCTGGACCAGGCCAGTGGCCAGCACCCCCGGCCCAGCACCAGTGTCCCCTGCCCGCCACCCGCCCTTGTCCTCAGAGCAGGGCTAGGAGCCCTGGGTTTGACGCCACTGAACCCTGTGGCCGGAGGCTGAGAGAGTGGGGATGAGCCCCTCATCCCCGCTCCCCTCACATCCCTGGTGGCCAGGCCAGCGCCCACAGGCTGTCCTCCCAGCCTGTCCCCCAGCCTGTCCCCCCGGCCTGTCCCCCTGGCCTGTCCCCCCAGCCTGTCCGGGCTCCTCACCTGCCATCCCCCATGGACACCCTGACTTCCTTAAGGAGCCCTAGAGCCACAGGGCCAAATGGCTGACCCTCAGCCCAGGACGCTTCGGCCTGGTGACTCAGGTCCGAGAACTCCATAGACCCCAGACGGGCCTACGTTAGTCAGGCATCAGATTTTGGCCAGATCCCCACGTCCCCAAAACTGTGAAGTGGCCAGAGCAGTCTTCCCTGCTGTCCCTCCCACAGGGCCACTGCGGGCGGGAGTCTGGGAGGTCAAGGGGCAGAGCCCTCAGCACCCCAGGCCCCTCTCCCCCCGGGCTGGGCTGCCTCCCTGGGTGGGCCGGTGGGCGCTCCCCCAGCAGCCGGTGACCCAGGGTGGCGGCCCCAGGTGTTCTTCCAGGAGCTGCTGCAGGAGGCGCAGGGCAGCAAGGCCTTCCCCGAGGACGTGGTCCGGCTCATCTTCTCCAACATCTCCTCCATCCACCAGTTCCACGCCCGCTTCTTCCTCCCTGAACTGCAGCGGCGCCTGGAGGACTGGTGAGGCCGCCAAGCCTGGCCTGTGCCCGCTGTGTGGCCATGGTGGTCCCTCCCCAGGGCGAGGGAGGGACAGGCACAGGTGTGCGCAGGAAGGGGCGGTGGGGCTGGAGGCTGTGGAGCAGCCACACTGACCTTGGCCTTGGACTTCACATCTGGTAACTGATCCAACCTTGGAATCAGCGGTCACTCGATGGCCACATTGTGGTCACACAAGAAACCCTCTTTGCTTTCAGAGGTAACCACTATTTCATGGAAAAAGTCACTTGCTTTATGTATTTTGCCAAAGAAATGCCATGATGTCCAAAGTGTCCTTGGAAGTCTTCGGTAAAGGAGATGGTCACCGACTGGTGGTCAATAGATAGGGGCCTTATTACAGATATGTGTTTTACTTTGTAATCACCATTAAAGTAAATATTTTAAGGTCTGGGGCTGTGGCTCAGCAGTAGAGCGCTCGCCTAGCACGTGTGAGGCCCTGGGTTCGATCCTCAGCACCACATAAAAATAAATAAATAAAATAAAGGTATTGTGTCCATCTACCGCTAAAATAAATAAACTATAAGCTGGGAGCGGTGGTATATATGACTGTAACCCCAGTAGCTTTGGAGGCTGAGGCAGGAGGATCTTGAGTTCAAAGCCAGCCTCAGCAATTTAACAAGACCTTAGCAACTCAGTGAGGCCCTGTCTCTAAATAAAATACGAAATAGCGCTCAGTGGTTAAGTGCCCCTGAGTTCAATCCCTGGTACAAAGAGAGAGAAAGAGAGAGAGAGAGAGAGAGAGAGAGAGAGAGAGAGAGCGAGCTGGTGTGGTGGTGTACACCTATAATCTCAGTGACCTAGGAGGCTGAGGCAGGAGGATTGCAAGTTCAAGGCCAGCCTGGGCAATTTAGCAAGACTCTGTCTCAAAAGAAAAAAAAAAAAAAGGGACATGGATGTAGCTCAGAGGTAGAGGGTCCCTGAGTTCAATCCTTAGTATCCCCCACACACTCACACACACATAAGAGAGGGAGAGAGAGCAACCCTATGAGTCCACCTACCATCATTCCCATTTGTTTCAGAGTAGATATTGAGGCACAGAGAGGCCATGTGATTGGCCCAAGGACAGCGGGAGTGACTGATGTGGTGGAAATGCAGCTGAGGCAGGCCAGCTCCCAGGGTGGCTTCTTACTGTCCCTGGGTTGAATGACCCCCAGGCCCTGCCTTGGGAGCATGTGGATACATTCTTACCCTCTGAGCCTCCTGTTCTCATCTCTAAGATGGGCTAAAGGCTCTTTCCACCCGCAGGGTTGTGAGAGTGGAAAGGGCTGAGGTGCGGGAGGGCCCTGGTCATGCTCCACGACCAAGCATGGAGGAGTCGCCCAGCCCTGTGGCAGGCCTAGCGCTGGGGAGGTGGGGGCCAGGGGACAGGACGCCTGTCCTGGGGGCGCCTGGGGGACCAGCCCGCCCACACCACCAGAGCCCAGGGCTGTTCCGGGAGCAGACCCCACCCCGCCCAACTGGAGTCCACAGAGGAGGTGGCCAGGCTGAGGACCATCCCTGGGTGTCCTTGCGCAGGACGGCCACGCCCCGCATCGGGGACGTGATCCAGAAACTGGCCCCGTTCCTGAAGATGTACAGCGAGTACGTCAAGAACTTTGGGCGAGCGGCAGAGCTGCTGGCCACCTGGACCGACAAGTCCCCACCCTTCCAGGAGGTCATCGCCCGCATCCAGGTGAGGCCGGAGGGGAGCCTGGCTGGGGTTTGGGCGTCTCCCGGCTCCCGCCCGCCCCACGCCCGCCCACCTGCTCCTCCGCAGAGCAGCGAGGCCTCTGGGAGCCTGACCCTGCAGCACCACATGCTGGAACCGGTGCAGAGGGTTCCCCGCTACGAGCTGCTGCTCAGGGAGTACGTCCAGAAGCTGCCGGCGCAGGCCCCCGACCGCGCGGACGCCCAGAGTGAGGAGCCAGGGCTGGGGGGGGGGCACGCCCACCTGTTTACTGAGCACCTACAATATGACTGTAGGATCGTCATCATCAGTAACAGTGGTTGAGACCTTATGGACATTATCCATACCGTGAGCCATTGTGTGTCAAAAAAGGTCACTGAGGCCCAGAGAGTTGAAGTGACTTGCTCGAAGTCACAGCCGGAAAGGAGGAGAGCTGTAGGGTGCCAAACCTTGTGCTTCTCCCACTGTTCCGGCTTTGTTCAGGCAACAGGGAGTCACCAAAGCCAAACTGCGCTGCCTTCGGGTCCCGTCTAGTCTCCCTACCCTCCATGGCCTGCGCCATCCAGACACCACCTGTGCAGGACGCCCAGGGGCAGTGCTGGAGGTCCCGAGGGCCTGCCATCCCAGCCTCCAGCCCCTAGCCCCAGCTTGTCAGGGGCTGACCCTGGCCTGCCTCCTCTCCAGAAGCCCTGGACATGATCTTCTCTGCGGCTCAGCACTCCAATGCGGCCATCGCCGAGATGGTAAGCGCGACCCTGGGCCAGCGCGTGGGGGACCCCTGGGCCTGTCCTGTGGCCGGATCCACTCGGCCCCGACGCCTGCCCACTGCCAGCCGCCCGCCCGTCCTCCCCTAGGAGCGGCTGCAGGACCTGTGGGAGGTGTACCAGCGCCTGGGCCTCGACGACGACATCGTGGACCCCTCCAACCACCTGCTCCGCGAGGGCCCGGTCCTCAAGATCTCCTTCCGCCGCAGCGACCCCATGGAGCGCTACCTTTTCTTGGTAGGGGCTGCTGGGAGCCTCCCACCCTGGGGAGGGGAGCTCCCGGTTCCTCTGGCCCAGGTGGCCTCTGTCTGGCCACTACCTGGCACTGCGGGGGGGGGGGGGCAGGGAAGACCCGTGTTTTGTACTGTGCTATGATGCCTGCTGACTTAGGAGGTCAGGAACTACCTCTGGGCCTCAGGAATTTCTAACTACACTCTTCCCAGAGATGCCCCAGCAAACAAAACTGTTGGAGTTTGAACTGGGTTCAAACCAGTGTTAATCCTGTTCTAGGACAGGCACAGCAGGAAGGCATTAGGTTAGCTACCAGGAAGAACTGCCTTCTTCACTCTGAAGAAGCCAGGGGCTCCCCTGAGATCTGGCAAGGTGGTCCCACCTCCCTCCCCCAAGGCCCTGGGCCCTATGCCCCCTTGAGGACAGCCTAGTAGGTTTCTGAAGTTGGCTTTGTTCCCTCGAGGCCCACAGGTAAGGTGACCTTCAGCACCATCCCAGTGGGGCAGGGGCTAGACAGCCCCCTTCCTTCTCCTCTGTGAAGTCCAGGGAGTTAGGCCAGAGAGTGACCAGAGGGGATTGGGTCAGTGGCTCCGCCCACCCTGGGAAGCCCCGCCCATCCTGGGAAGCCCTGCCCACGCACTCACCCCGCCCCTGTCCCCGCAGTTCAACAACATGCTGCTCTACTGCGTGCCCAGGGTTATCCAGGTGGGCGCCCAGTTCCAGGTTAGGACCCGCATCGACGTGGCCGGGATGAAGGTGAGAGGCTCTGCCGGAAAGTGGGCTCAGGGTAGGAGAGCGCCCCGGGGTGACCCAGGTCCTGGGCTGCGAGGGAGCTGGTGGTCCTCAGCACGCGGGGCTGGAGGAGCTGGAGGGAGAGCTCACCCGCGGGACCAGCCTCCTGCAGAGGCCCTTCCTGGGCCCGAGGGGTGGGGCATGGTCCACAGGCTTCAAGGAGTGCCCTCCAGGCCCCTGGTGGCGTGGTGGCTGCAGGTTCTGAGTCAGCAGGTCTGAGCAGGGCCGGGCAGTACTGGGGAGTGAGCCAGGGCCTCGTGCATGCTAAGCAAGGACGCCACCCCTGGGCTGCGTCTCCAGCTGCCGTCCCAGCCCTTTAAAATGTCTGTATAAGCCAGGCTCAGTGTCGCACACCAGTAATCCCAGCCACCTGGGAGGCTGAAGCAGGAGGATTCCCAGTTCGAGGCCAGCCTGAGCAACTTGGTGAGACCTTGTCTCAAAAAATAATCAAGGCTGGGGATGTAGCTCAGAGGTAGAGCACAGGCCTCTATGCAGAAAGCCCTGGGTTCAAGCCCTAGTGCTGCCCAAAATAACGATAATGCTGCTGATGATGTTAATTGCATTCTCTAACAATCAGATAATACATATTTCAAAATCAAACAATATAAAAATATATATACAATGAGCAGTCTCCTCCCTGCCCTGTCCCCTTGTCCCCCCTCTTGAAGTCACCTTGGCTTCTCTTTGCACATACATACTATTACCATGGCCATGGCCCTGCACCCTGATTGTTTCACTAGTAGTTCTGGAGAGTGTTGCCCTTGGCACATTAGAGCTGCCTCATCTTTTTATGCGGCTGCATAGTATTCCACTGTGGGTGGGCTGCAATTTACTCAACCAGTGTTCTGCTCAGGGCTGTGTAGGTTGTCTTCAGTTGTCAGCTGCAGGAAATAACCTTTCAAAGTCAGCCTGAGTGTGAGTGCAACTACTGTTGATCCCGCTGAGAAAGATAAGAAAACCAAGACTCTGGTTAAGTGTTTTGCTTGCGGCAAATCTTGGTTTGGACAACCTGGATTCAAAGCCCCAAGCGTACCTGGGTCTGGAGCCTGTGGTCTAATCCCCACGCTGAAAGTTCCCAAGTGAGGCTTCTGCCCAGAGCCGTGAAGTCTGTGGCCAAATCTCAGACGTTGAGGAGGAAGTGGCAGCCATCCGTCCTGACCACGGCACTCCCTGCCGGCTTCTGAGCCCACTGTGTCCTGAAGCCAGGGCTGGAACTGCAGGGGCCTGGCCTCCCTCGACCCTTCCATGTCCCCATCCCCCACCCCGCCCGAGCTGCAGGTGTGCTCCAGTCTGGAGCCTGGGCCCTGAGACAGCTGGGGACCCCCTGCTCCACGCTAGATTGTCTGCAGTGGGCACAGCCTGCAGGCGCTGATGGCCCGTGGGGTCATGGGCACCTCCTGGGGGTTCACAGCCCATCCCCACCCTGAGCTGACTGAGGGAGGAGTGTGTCCTCACCCCCGGGGATCTAACTTTCCACCTCCAAGTGGCCAGAATGTCCCAGAGGCTGGGATGTGTTCAAGGGTGTCTCTGTGGGATCCTCCATGGGTGGCATCTTGTCACAGACTCAGGCACAGAGAAGGAGGCAGAGATTGACAGAAAGGTCAAGAAACAGACACATAACATAAAGAGAAAATTCGTAGAGGTGGGATGCAGCTTGGTGGTAGAGTGCATGTTTGGCGTGTGCAAGGTCCTGGGGCCCATCCCCAGCACCAGAAAGAAAATATGTCCTCGGTGGCTGGTGAGCTTGTCTCCCTCTAGCGGCCACACAGCACCCTCTCCTGGATGGTACTGGTATGGCAGGTGTCGAGCTGTCCACAGCCCCATGTCTATGCTGGACCATTTTCTGAGTCTGAGGTTTAGAAGAAGCCGTCTGGTTTTGAACCATCAAGATGGCTCTCACCGACCTTCTACGACACGCTGGCCTCCTTCTGGTGTGTCAGCTGACTCCACAATCTCACCTGGTCTTAATGTTTTGCCATCCTGCATAGGGCCAGTCTGCAAAGAAGGAAGGACTATGGGTCCAGCCCCTCAGGGACTCCATGTACAGCTGTGCAGGCTGTGCACTGCACAGGATACCTCATCTGAGAGGGTGCCATCTGCAGCAGACTGCTCATTGGCCGACGATGACAGTAGCGTAGATGGCATATTTATAGTGAGAAGTGTCCGGCAGATGGCAGTCAAATGTCTTGTTCCAACAAAATCTGGATGTTATGCCAGTTTGCCAACAGATGTCAGTAAACAGATGTCATTTGGAGGAAGGGGGTCCTTTCACCAATGAAGACAAAGGACTGTGTGGGCAAGCGGGGCTCGGCGGTGACCACACCCGGGGCTGGGTGGGGCTGGGTGCAGCAGAGGCTCTGTGAGCATCTCAGGGGGGACCTCGACCCTCAGGTCAGGAGTTCCCAGCTCCCCTTCTTTTGGGGGGTGTTACAGGGGACCTGACCACACCCCCAGCCCTGTTTTGTCCTTGATTGAGCGCAGGCCGCTGGGTGGCTTTCCCTGGCTCTCCTCCCCCCACCTCGCCTCTCACCGCCTGGCGGCCTCCCCGGGGCCCAGGGCGGCAAGTCCAAACCTCTGCAGGCCCTAGCAGAGGGGACACTGGCTCTGGGGCCGAGGCCAGGCCTGCTGGGGGGAAGGACGTGCTCGGGGTCAGTGCTGTCAGGGATGCGGTGCCCCCCCATCACGTGTGAAGTCCTGGCCACTGCGAGGCACGGCAGAGGGCTCAAGGGTCAGGTGGCATCAGGCCCCAGTTTCCCAGGCGCAGGCGCAGGCTCAGGTGTGTCTAGGTTCTTTTGTGACCCTCTCCCCGGGGCCCGGGAGGTCTGCGCTGCCAGGACCCAGGGCTGGGGTGGAGAGATGTTCTCCCACCTGAGCTTTGGTCTCCCAAAACCTGAGCTGTGACCCTTACTTTGCCATTTCGATGCTGTGTGACCTCAGGCAGGTCTCTGTGTCCTCATCTCCTCCTCCATGAGGATGGTAATGTCTGCCTTCCAAAGTTGCTGCGGAGATTATTTTCTTTAATTTTTTTTTTTTTTTTTGGTCCTGGGGATACCCAGGGGCACTTAACCACTGAGCCCTTTTTATTTTTTATTTAGAGTCAGGGTCTCACAGAGTTGCTTAGGCCCTTGCTAAATTGCTGAGGCTGACTTTGCACTCGGGATCCTCCTGCCTCAGCCTCCCAAGCCTCTGGGATCACTGGCGTGGGCCACGGCCTCCTTCAGCCTTTTTATTATGGACATTTTTAAACCCAGAAAATGGTGCACTAAGCCCTCACATACCTGCCTGGTTTGGGGACCCAGTTTCCATTTGGGGTGAAGCTTTGTGGGGGGCTGTTACCTGCACTCTACACTGGGCCACCGGAGCTGGGACTCCCGGAGCTTCAAGGCCCCTTGGCTTAGAGGGGGCCCAGCGACAGGTGCCTTTTGCTGGTTGGGCAGGACTAAGGAGGTGGAGGACCAGTTCCCCATCCCTGTCCTCGAATGTGAACGGCTTCTTGGGCACAACCCACCTCCCTTCTCTCCGCCGTGCTGCGGAGGGGACACAGAGTGACAGGGCTGACTGGTCCCCCCTGCCTGCAGGTGCGGGAGCTGCCCGACGCCGAGTTCCCCCACTGCTTCCTGGTGTCGGGGAAGCAGCGCACCCTGGAGCTGCAGGCGCGGTAGGAGCGGCTGGGGGGGCAGGCAGGGGTCCGGCAGCGCGCCTTGGACACCCATGAGCACCTTCCTTCTGAGCAGGTCCCAGGAGGAAATGGCTTCCTGGATACAGGTATGGGAACGCTCCGGGGCTCCTAGGACTCTGACCCTAGAATCCGGGTGTGCCCAGCTGCTCCCTGGTCTGTCTGTGGAGTTTGGAGTCAGCCCTGGGTTCAAATCCTGCTGCCTCTCTCTGCCTTGCTGGAAATCCTAGGGCGAGTCCCTTAACCTCTCTGGGCCTCAGTTTTTACATCTGTACTCTGGGGCTAGTTTCTCCTTCCTCGGGTCAGCCCCTGTGTGCTTGGGGGCCAGGGCCTGGTACTGGCTGGTTCTCTGCTGGGTCTGTTGGTTTGTGGGTGGGTGAGGAGATGAGCCCTCCCTGCAGCTCCTCAGTGACACCCCCTCTCCGCCCTCCGCCCCAGGCCTGCCAAGCAGCCATCGACCAAATTGAGAAGAGGAATGAAACCTTCAAGGCTGCAGTGCAGGGCCCCGAGGGCGACGCCCAGGAGCAGGTTGGTGAAACCTGTGCCCCTTCCGTGGAGCCCCCTCCCATGAGCTCCCTCTCTGCTCCACCCTGGCCGGCTCCAAGGGACAGGGAGTGTCACCCATCAGGAGTGATTTGAAGCCACCCTTCTTCCCAACATCTCCCCAGTCAGCGACTCCGAGACAAAGTTTCCCACTAGCAAAAACTGCCTTGGGGCGCGGCCCCCTGCAGTGTCCCAGGGAAGGGGACAGAGACTCCAGCTCTGGCTGCCGGCCAAGTGCAAGTTTAGGATTTGAAATTACCTGAGAAACGTAGCCCATGGGACCGGGGAGGCAAGTGAGGTGGGTTAGGGAGACTATCTGGGACTTGATTTCCTATATGAGCTTGCTGGGTGACTTTGCTGAGTGACTGGACCTCTCTGGGCCTCAGTTTTCTCACATGTAAAATAAGAATTGAGGCTTGATGAGTTCAGTCAGTTTCAAGTGGAAGCCCCCGGGGACACCCCGCTGCCCAGCCCTCCTTGCCCCACAGCTGCAGTCTGAGGAGCTGGGCCTCCGAGCCCCGCAGTGGGTGCGGGACAAGATGGTGACCATGTGCATGCGCTGCCAGGAGCCCTTCAACGCCCTGACCCGCCGGCGCCACCACTGCAGGGCCTGTGGCTACGTGAGTGCCCCCGCCAGCGCCCCCGCCCCGACGACGTCCAACCAGGGCTCCTTCCTGGCCAGCTGCTGCCCAGCCCCCGAGCCTGGGCGCAGGCGGCCTGGTGCAGCCCCAGCAGCGCTCAGCTGAGAAGCCCCGCTTCATAGATAGGAAATGAAGCTCCCATTAGTAAAAGGACCTGGGAGCTGACCCTGTCCTCCCACCTGCCGTCTGTCCACCATTTCCCAAGGGTCGGTGCTCAGCTGGGCTCAGGAGCCAGGGCAGCCCACCCCCCCACCAACACCTCTTGCTTTGCGCCTGGTGCACCTGCTGCTCTGTGGGAGCCGGTCCCTGTCACAGCATGTCCCCTCCATCTACTCTGCAAGCAGAGAAGCCCAAGGCAACCTCCGTCTTTAACAACCTCTGGGGCACAGGAGGAGTCCACAGGACAGGTTGGGGCTAGTCAAGGAGGTGTTCCCCAAATACATTAGACTGCAATCAGGACAGAGGTCAGTTTCTAGGACCGAGGACACACCTACACACAGCAGGCAAGCCCTGAGTCACATGCACCCGCCAAATAGGAGAGGTCTGGGGACTCGCTGCTGTTCTGTAAGTGAAAGTCTCATCCATCTACACTCGCACCTGTGTAAGGAGTCCCTAAACACAGGAAAGAGGCCCGCAAGGTGGCCCACACCTGGAATCCCTGAGGCTCGGGAGGCTGAGGCAGGAGGATCAGGGGTTCACAGCCAGCCTCAGCAATTTAGTGAGGCCCTAAGCAACTCAACGAGACCAGGCAGGGGATGAGGCTCAGTGGTTGAGCGCCCTGGCTTTAATGCCTAGTACCACGGCGGGGGGGGGGGGGGGGAAGAGCTCCAATTTGCCTGTAGTTTTGAAGAATTGCAAAATTAGAAGTTGGTGAAGCAGAAAAATATTTACTAGTTATAGTAAATGATTTAAATCTCTCAACAAAAATAAAATACTCCCAGGCCAGCCAGAGCCTCTGTGTGGGGCCCTGGCTGCTGCGGCCTCTCGTGCCTGAGCACATCTCTGCGCCCTGGGAGTCGGTGACTCATCCTTTCGGTGGCCCAGGTGCCTGGTTTCTGTCTCCCCTGCTGCCAGACTGGAGGCTTGCCAGGGAGGGACGCTCAGCACTGCCCTGGGCGCACACCCCCCTCCCGGGCCCTTCCTCTCGCCCCTGATCCTGCGCCCCCTTCCTGGCTGCCCATCTTGCTGGGTGCTGTTCCTGGGTCTCCCTACACCTGGCTCCCTTGGTCTCCCCAGCCTGATCCACGGCAGCCTTTGGGGCTTCTCAGTGATGGACTCGGGGCGGTGTGTGTGTGTGTGTGTGTGCGCGCGCGCTCCATCTCTTCCCAGGTAAAACAACTGGCCCATCATTTTTTCTATTAGAACATTCTGGACTCTGGGATGGAGTAGAAGGCAAAATTTGCATGAGTCCCAAAGCAAACAGAAGGATTTTAAAGACACACCCTGATTGTGGAGGGTCTGCGTTGCCACTTTGCTGTGTGGCCCTCAGCAAGTCATTGCCCCCTCTGGGCTGGCCTGCTGTCACCCTCACACGAGGACAAGAGCCCTGGCCTTTCACTTAGAGCACTTTGATAAGTGAATGGGTTAAGGCCCCCAGAGTCCCGCCCCGCCCCCATGAAGGGGGGAAGTTGGGGCCCTAGCAGAGGGGCCAGGCCTCAGGCCTACAGCCTCAGACCCAGAGCCTGGGCTGGCCCGCCCTGAAGCCTCAGGTCCTGGAGCTCAGCCAGCCTGGGGGACCAGCTCTGCTCTGCCCCTGCAGCCCGATGGCTCTCCTGTCCCCGCCCGCTGACCGATGCCGTGTCCCCCAGGTGGTGTGCGCCCGGTGCTCCGACTACAAGGCCGAGCTCAAGTACGACGGCAACCGGCCCAGCAGGGTCTGCCTGGACTGCTTCACCTTCCTCACGGGAAGCGTGCTGCCCGAGGACAGGGACAGGAGGCGGGGCATCCTGGAGGTGGGGCCTCCTGTCCCTTGACCTTGGGGTCCCTGCTGGGCGGGTCCTGGGTGCTGAGGGGCAGTGCGGTCACACCTCCCCTCCTCTCCTCCCCCAGCCGGGCACCGGGGGCCTGGCACCACACAGAAGTGCCTCTGTGACTCTGCCCACGTCCCCGAGGCCTGCCCCACGGTCCTCGGAGGTGTCTCAGACACCACTGGACAGATGGGGACACTGAGGCTCCAGGACAGGCAGAGCCTGAGCTCTGTCCACCCTGAAGTCCTGAGAGACTGCAGGGTCCACCAGCTGGAAGGGACTTCAGGGACCAGCGGGGCCTCTCCCGTGGAGACCCAGGTCCAGAGGGTGACTTGCCCCACACTTTTGTAAGTTCTATCCACTGCCTCGGGGCCTCACCGAGCCCCTCCCCTCCCCCACAGAGGCCCCCTATGGGGTCCCAGCTGTGTTCCACAAATACCATGTCACCCAGCCCAGATCCTGGTCGCACCCCGCAAAGGCCAGGTGGGCGCCATGTCCCTAGGAGATGAGAAGGAGCTGTCCGCTCCCAGGTTCAAGTTGGTCCTTCCCACGGACACTGGCTCCCGCCCAATCCCCCCTGTCCCTCCAGGCCTGGTCCCTGCCCAGGCCCCAACTCTGTTCCTTGGGGCATCCCACCAGGGGTGAAGCCTTCCCGGCCCCTGCCCCCCATGGGCGCACACACTTCGGGTCAGGTCCCGTCGGGGCTCCATGCAGCTCAGCCACTGGCCAGCCTGGTGACATAGGCAGGCACATGGTGTGACATTTCTGAGTCCCCGGGGCAAATGACCCCTCCTTGCTTCAAAGATTAAACAGGGAGTCATCCAGCCCCAGGCCTGCCTGTGGCGTCCAGGACACTGGTGCCACTGTCCTCTCTGCTTCCAGAAAGGCGCCCCGCCTGGGCCCGGCCAGAGTCTGATGTGCAGCTTCCTGCAGCTCCTCGGGGACAAGTGGGGCAAGAGCGGCCCCCGGGGCTGGTGTGTCATCCCCCGCGATGACCCCCTGGTGCTCTACGTCTATGGGGCTCCTCAGGTAAGGCCACCACCTGCCTGCCCGGGTCTGGCCTCCCCATGGTGCAGGGCAGGGTTGGCCCCTTTGTCAGATGGACACCGAGGCCCAGAGTCCAATCTGAGCTGGAGCCAGACAGCAGCTCGCGGGTCCTTCCCCCTCTGAGGGCCAGGTCTTTATGGGGGACCCCCCTGGGGTCTCAGGGGCAGTGTGTGCTCTGGCGCAGGGCAGAGGGCTGGTGGGGTGGCAGCCCACCTCTCCTTCCTCCCCCAGGACATGCGAGCCCACACCTCCATCCCCCTGCTGGGCTACCAGGTGACCCCTGGGCCCCAGGGGGACCCCAGGGCCTTCCAGCTGCAACAGTCGGGCCAGCTGTACACCTTCAAGGCCGAGACAGAGGAGCTAAAGGGCCGCTGGGTGAGGGCCATGGAACAGGCAGCCGGGGGCTGCAGCCCCGGAGTGACTGATGACGGGGACCTGTCTGACTGAGCCACCACAGGCCACACGTCCTGTTCCAGCATTTAGGAAAGATGAGTCCAGCCAGGGGACGTGGTGCACATCTGTAATCCTAGAGGCTCGGAGGCTGAGGCAGGAGGATGGAGTTCAAAGCCAGCCTCAGCCATTTAGTGGGCCTCAAGCAACTCAGCAAGATCCTGTCTCTAAATAAAAATGTGAAAAGGGGGCTGGGGTGTGGCTTAGTGGTCAAGTGCCTGTGGGTTCAATCCCCCTTAACCAAAAAAAAAGAAAAAAAAAGAGAAAAAGAAGAAAATATGGGTCCATTCCTTTGAGAAGGGGGAACCAACTGTCCCAATTTGCCAGGGCAGAAGGGGTCCCTGGGCCATGGGACATTCAGTGCTAAAACTGGGAAAGTCCGGGTAATCCAGAGTTGTTGGTGCTCTTGGTGCAGCTCTCAAGCTGGATTGCTTTACCAAAGTACTGGTGAGCCCGGTGCAGTGGCCCACGTCTGCAATCCCAGCCACTCAGGAGGCTGAGGCAGGAGGATCACAAGTTCAAGGCCAGCCTCAGCAATTTAGTGAGATCCTAAATAACTTAGGGAGACCCCATGTATCAAACTTAAAAATAAAAGGGGCTGGGGATGTGGCTCAGTAGTAAAATGCCCCTGGGCTCAATCCCCAGTGCCAAAATGAAAATAAAACTAAAAATACTGATGAATATATCCACGTGTTAATTTTAAGATTAAAAAATATCAACCAGTACGGGAACTCTCTGTATTTTATGATAAATTTTGTTGAGCAATCTAAAACTTCTCTAAAATGTAGAGGCTACTTAAAAGGAAAATAAACTTAAAACAAATTCTAAGAAAAAAATCAACCAGGAGTACGTCCTGGTGCACACCCCAAGATTCCAGCACCTCAGGAGGTTGAGGCAGGAGTAGCACAAATTCGAGGCCAGCCTGGGCAACTTAGCGACACCCTGTTTCAAAATAAAAAAAAAAAAGAGCTGGGGATGTGGCTCAGTGGTACAGTGCCCCTGGGTTCAGTCCCCAGTATGGGGGGAAGAAAAATTAAAAATAAAGACTATCAATGTCTGTGTCCACCACCCAAGATTTTCATTGACTTGGCTTGGGATGTGGGAGACCTGGGTATTTTTTTAGGAGTATCCACAGGAGTCTAGGGTGCAGCCTGGGGTACGTGGGTGAAGATAGCAAGCTGTTACCAATGGTCTAGCAGCAGGATGGTAGCAATACTGATAAACATCTAGAGGGCCTAGCACTGTGCTGGGTGTTCTCTGTGGATTATCTCCTTTTATCATCAAGGATTGCAGTCCCCATTTTTCCCTTGAGGATACTGGCCCAGAGGGGGTTAGTGACTGGCTTAAGTTCACACAGCTCAGGAATGCCAGAGTCAGGGGACTAAAGTCAGATATTTTTCCATCAGATAGCAGAACAGTAAGGTCAGGAGAGCAGGGAGAGAGTGGGAGAGGGAAAGGAGGGAGAAAGAGCCAAGAAAAGGGAGGGAGGGAGGGAAAGGGTGAAGAAAGAAGTTGGTACCTATGAGCCACTCGAGGAGGAAGCTGCTTTTCCACAGGAGACCACCAGGGGGTGGCAGTGGTCAGCAGTGGCCTGGGCCTGGGCCCCTGGCTCTTCGGGGCAGTTCCATCTTGCTGGGTTCTGCCCTTGATGGGAAGGGCGGGGGGAGGAATGGACAAGTCACAGGTGTTTGACCCACCCTGGGCCAGGGTGGCCTCTGGCCGGAGGACACTTCCCGTTTGGAGGGTGTGTATTTTTTCCCCTGCAGGTGGTTTTAAAAAGCCCAACAAGCCAGGTGCCGTGGGACACACCTGTAATCCCAGTGGCTCCCGAGGCAGGGGGGTCACAAGTTCAAGGCCAGCCTGGGCCATTGAGCAAGACCCAGTCTCAATAGATAAAGAGCTGGGGATGTGATTCAGCGTAGAGCACCGTGGGCTCCTTCCCCAGGACAGGAGGCAGTAACCGACTCTCTCGGGGCCAGCCACGGGCCCCCTTCACTCTTTCACCCAACAATACCAAGCATCTTGCAGGAACCACACGCAGTTCCTGCAAAGTTCAAGCGTCCCTGCCCTCATGGAGGTCACATTCTAGTGAAGGACACGGGCAACAAGACGAAGAAGTGAAATAGAGAGCACACAGTGTGAGAAGTGCTCCCATAAGGGGCCCAACCAGCCTGTACTTTCAAACCTTAAAACTGAAAGTCTTCAGTTCCAGGAAGCCACTCCCTTTCCAGGCAAACGGGACAGCTGCTCACCCCGCAGAAGAAAAAAGTGAGAAAGAGCATAGATCGTGTGTGCGTGCGCGCGCGCGCGCGTGTGTATTTATTTATTTTTTTAAAATGTTGTTTCTTTTTTTTTGTTTGTTTTTGAGAGAGAGAGAGAGAATTTTTTGATATTTATTTTTAATTTTTTTTAGTTTTCAGCAGACACAACATCTTTGTTTGTATGTGGTGCTGAGGATCGAACCCGGGCCGCACGCATGCCAGGCGAGCGCGCTACCGCTTGAGCCACATCCCCAGCCCCTATTTATTTTTTTACTGCTTTTATTTTTTAAGTACACGACAGTGGAATGCATCACAATTCTTATTATACAAACAGAGCACAATTTTTCATATCTCTGTATGTAAAGTATGTTCACACCAATTCATGTCCTCATACATGTACTTTGGATAATGATGTCCATCCCATTCCACCATCCTTGCTAACCCGCTTGTGTGTGTATTTAAAAGGAAAATGAAGGAAGGCCTTAAGAAGTTCATGTTTAGCCGGGCACAGCGGCCCAGGCCTGTAATCCCAGCAGCTCGGGAGGCTGAGGCAGGAGGATCTGAATTCAAAGGCAGCCTCAGCAACAGAGATGTGCTAAGCAACTCAGTGAGCCCCTGTCTCTAATTAAAATACAAAATAGGGCTGGGGATGGGGCTCGGGGGTCGAGTGCCCCTGAGTTCAACCCTAGTATCCCTCCCCCAAAAAAAAGAATCTGTGTCCTCCTACCTCAGCCTCCCAGGGAGTGGGATTATAGGAGTGCACCACCACTGTGCCCAGCTTCAGGGGAACATATCTGGTGGCCCTGATGGACCTCGAGTCAGCTGGGAGAGAACCTTACCCCCCACAACCCTCCCCACTGCCTTCCTCCTGGGACATCTTTTCTCAGCCACCAGAATCCTGGGCTCTGGGAACAGGCTTCGTGCCTTCATCCGTCTCTTCCTGTGATCGCTGGGCTACCGTATTGTTTACTATGCACTAAGTGCCTGTCACTTCCTCCCCAAACAGACTTTTTTTTATGCTGGGGAGTGGGGCATGTGGCAGACTAGGCAGGCGCCCCACCACTGAGCCACACCCCCACCTCCCAAAACAGTTTTTTGACATCCATTCAAGTGTCCCCATTGGTAGATGAGCAAAGTAGTCAAGCAAGGTTAAGTAACTGGCCCGAGGTCACCCAGCCTGTAAGTCATGACCTCAGTTCACACCTGGGCCCCGCTGATTCCCCCGGCTGGCACTAGGGAGCAGTGTCTCCCAGTGGTTGGGGGTCCAGGCCACCACCAGCCCTGGCAGACCCCACCCAGTGGGGCCTCTTAGTGGCTGTGGGGTCTTAGAAGCTCCACCGCCCTTGCAGGGTTTCTTCCCTAAGGGTGGGGGAGGAGGGTGTTAACTGAATGAATAAGTGTCCAGCACTCCACAGCGGTGGCCAGTGGTAACTGTCCCAAGTCACTGTGGTGACCATCTGCTCTCATTTACCGAGTATCTAGAAACACAAAGTTGACTAAGTGGTTGTCCCTGCTCTTGGGGACCTCCGAGTCTAGGCCTCTAGAATGCCCTGGAAAGGTGAGGGGTGGGGGGACACTAGGGACTGAACCCAAGGGCGCTCCACCGCCGAGCCCCATCCCCAGCCCTTTTCATACTTTACGCTGAGACAGGGTCTTGCTCCATTGCCCAGGCTGTCCTTGAACCTGAGATCTTCCTGCCTCGGCCCCTGGAGTTGCTGTGATTTTAGGTGTGATGTGAGCCACTGCGCCCGACTCCCTGGAAAGCTTTTGGAAAAAAATTCCAATATCCAGGCTGCACCCATGCCTGTCACCTGAAAACCCCCCCGATGGGCAAGTCACAGCGCACCAGAAACTACGGGGCAGTTGGATCAGCGGGGACAGGCCAGCTCTTGAGCTCTGGTCCCTAAATTTTTCTAGAGGGTTTAGTCTGCATGGGAAGTGGCTTCACTGCGGAGTTCAGGGTGGTGGAGGAAGGTCAGGGGGAGGGACGAGGCCCTGGGCTTAGGGCGGTGTTGGGTGAGCGGAGGTGGGTGGGATGGCAAGCCCACCCTTTCTAGCAGAGCCCTCAAAGTTTAGAAAAAGGGCACAGCCACTAGCCAGCACCGCCATCCTGCCGTAAGTCCCCCACACTGCCCTGTGTGGCCATCCCAAGCCTACCCCTTGCCTCTTGGCAACCTCTTCTGACCTATGATTTTGGCCTGTCCAGTGTCACATAAACGGGATCCTGGTGGCTTGAGCCTGGCTTCTTTTGCTCCGCATTGTGTCCTGAGACTCCACCATGATGCGGCCTCTACCTGGACTCGATGCCTCCCATGGCTGAGGAGTCCTCTCCCAGGTGGGGACAGCGCCGCCTGCCTCTCTGCTCACCACTGAAGGACACTGGTTCCTGCCCGTGTCAGCTTTTCGTCTCTGTGACAAAATGCCCGAGAAAAGCAGCTTCAAGCGGGAAAGGTTTGTTTTGGCTGCCAGTTTCAGAAGTTCTAATCCGTGGTCAATGGTCTCCATGGCTTTGGGGCCCAAGGTGAAGTAGCAGGAGCACGTGGTGACGGAGAAGCGGAGAAGGAGAGACACAGAGAATGAAAGTCAGGGATCAGGGACAAGATGGACCCTTCCAGGGCACGCCCCCAGCGACCTGCTTCCTTGAAGTAGGTCCCATCTCCTAGGGTTGCCAATAGTCGCCTTCCAATAAGACCATCAACATGGACCCCCAGGGCTGAAGCCATCGGTGAGGTCAGAGTCCTCAGGAGCCAATGGCTTCCCCTCTGAGCCCCTCCATAGTCTTTGGAGGTGTTTCAGATCCACACTCGGATACTCGCCCTTGTGACAATTTTGAGAGATGCTGCTTTGAGCTAGAAACATCCATGTCCGGGTTTTTGTGTGAGCACAGTCTCTCTTCTCCAGGGTAAATGTCTAGAATGGCCCACTGGGCTGCGTGGGGAGCGTATGATGAACTTTACCAAAACCACCGACCTGGTGGTTCCGCATTGGTGACCCCATCTGCATTCACACCCTTGATGCATGAGCGTCCCTGCCCACAGTGTTTGATGTAGCCAGGGCTGGGGGGGGAGGGGGTGTTTTTATTTTATTTATTTTTGGTTCTGGGATTGAAGCCAGGGCGCTCTATCATGGAACCACATCCCCAGCCCTTTTGCGTTTTTATTTTGAGATAGAGTCTCACTCAGTGGCTGAGGCTTGTGATCCTCAAGCCTCAGCCTCTCGAGTCGCTGGGATTACAGGTGTGCGCCACTGTGCCTGGTGGTTTTTGTTTATCTTAAAAATGTTGGTGCCTATGTAGTGCTCACGAGCTTTTCAAAGATTATGAATATAAAGAAATAAGGACCTTTAATAGTAAATATTTTGCAAACAGTGATCATTGAAGCACCGACTGTGTGCCAAGCATATGCTAATACTTTCGAAATCCCAGGGCTGGTATGGTGGGGGGGCACCCTATGGACGGTCAGGAA